CCCTCGTGCCTTGTGCCTTGTGCCTTGTGCTTCGTGCCTCGTGCTTCGTGCCTCGTGCCTCGTGCCTCGTGCATCGTGCGCCCTGCTCCGCGCTGTTGCTCTGCACGCGCGGTTGCCCGCGCCCTCGTGCGCTCTACCCTACCTGCTCCGCGCTGTTGCTCTGCACGCGCGGTTGCCCGCGCCCTCGTGCGCTCTACCCTACCTGCTCCGCGCTGTTGCTCTGCACGCGCGGTTGCCCGCGCCTTCGTGCGCTCTACCCTACCTGCTCCGCGCTGTTGCTCTGCACGCGCGGTTGCCTGCGCCCTCGTGCGCTCTCCCGCCCCGGCCCTCCCCCCCCCCCCCCCCCCCCCCCCCTGCGTCCCCTGGACAGGAGGGTGTGGGGGTGGCGGGTGTGGGGGTGCTCCGTGTGCGTCGCCCCTTCCTTCTCCTCCGTCTCCCACTGCTGCAGCTGCCGCTGCGGGGGTGGATGTGTGGGAGACGAGGGAGTGGCGCTAGGGGGGTGATGTGGGCGTGGAGCGAGTGGTGACCCTGGGGGTGAGTGTAGGGGGGAGTGAGACAGTTGGAGGAGGTTGCAACCTGGTGCTCCTGGTGCCCGTGTGTCTGCAACTTCAGTCGTCGCCTCCTCTCATCTCTCCCTCCACAGTTCCTCCTCCTCCTCACTGGCCTCCTGTGACTGCCACTAGCTTTGCTCATATTTGTGAACTATTGCACTGCCTGCTCATTGTGCTGATTGCACCCCACTTTGGCTATGGGGGTGTGTCAGAATGTTATTGTCTAGCCTGCAGTGGGGTGCTCAATAGTGAGTACAACCCCTTAGGGTTTCCTATATGTATCCTGCTGCTTGCTAGTTCATCATCATTCCCATTCTCACTTCTCCAATTCTCCTTCGTATACCACAAACCCTAGTCCTAGGGCACAACCTACTACCTCCTAGTGTGGGCCTAGGCTACTAAGCCTAGGCCCCACTCCTATTGTTTCTAACAAGGGGCCGAAAGGGAACGGAGGGGATGATCTTAGAGGGATTGGACGAGAGAGGCAGACAGGGGAGTGGCGACGACGAAATAGCGAGGGACGTATGGAGAGGTCACCAAACACGCTACCATGTGGCACCTAGGGGCAGCAGGGGCGAGTGGAGTTGGAGTAAAGCTGAGGTGAGGGTGAGGGGGGGTAACGGGGGAGACGTCATAAGAAGAAGGAGGACATGGGGGAAAGGGAAAGGGAAAGTGGAGAGGCGACGACGGAAGGGGCGAGAGGCGGAGAGGGTCGGGCCCAAAGGGAAGGGAGTGACGGGAGCGACGTGGGCGACGTCTCCCATTCCCTTCCGCCTTCCATTCCCCCCCTTCCCCCCAACATTCACAATGCCACATAGCCACGCACACACGCCGCCATCACCTGCACCCTGCGTCACGGGGATGCACGCCAGTTTCATTAGTGGTAGACGGAAGCGGTGTGAGAGGGAGAGGGTGTGAGAGAGGGAAGGGAGGAGTGGGACAGTCAGGAAAGCAAGTGACTGGAATGATAAACAGGATTGATGTAGGTAACAGACGGGAGTGAGTGAGGCAGGAGGGAAGAGAAGGCTCTTCAGTCCCCCTCTCAATTCTTCCCGGTGAATGGACAGATAGAAGGAAGGAAAGAAGACGAAAGGGAAAGGAAGGGGAGGGGATGAATGGGAAGGGAGGCGAGGCGAAGACAGAGAAGGGAAGGAGGGGGACAGAGAGGGAAGGGAGGAGAGGAGCGGAGAGGGAAGGGAGGAGAGGGGAGATGGGAACATGTGTGAGCATGTCTTGTGTGTTGTGAGTGACGGGGAAGATGGGCAGAGGAGGAACCGGGGGGAGCGCAAAGGGGGAAGAGGGTAAGAGGAGCAGATATGAGCGACATGTGTTAGTGAGTCGTGTGAGTCACGTGTGAGCGACATGTGCGAGCGACGTGCGTGGGTGATGGGAGTGAGAGAGCGGCAGTCACTGAGAGAGCGAGGGAAGTGAGAGAGCGACGGGAGTGAGAGAGCGACGGGAGTGAGAGAGCGACGGGAGTGAGAGAGCGACGGGAGCGAGAGAGCGACGGGAGTGAGAGCGCGGCGGGAGAGAGAGAGAGCGACGGGAGTGAGAGCGCAAAAAAGTGAGAGAGCGACGGTAGAATGAGCGCGACGGGAGCGAGAGAGCGACGAGAGTGAGAGCGCGCCAGAAAGAGAGAGCGACGGGAGTGAGAGAGCGACGGGAGTGAGAGCGCGGCGGGAGTGAGAGAGCGACGGGAGTGAGAGCGCAAAGAAGTGAGAGAGCGACGGTAGAATTAGCGCGACGGGAGCGAGGGAGCGACGGGAGTGAGAGAGCGACGGGAGTGAAAGCGCGACGTGAGTGAGAGAGCGATGGGAGTGAGAGCGCGACGCGAGTGAGAGAGTGACGGGAGTGAGAGCGCGACGGGAAAGAGAGTTTGATGGGAGAGGGAGAACGACGGGAGTGACGACGACGGGAGTGAGGGCGGGCCTTGAGCGATTGCGGACCGGCATTAAGTCCAGGCTAGGATAACCTTCAGCGGCGACGAGTAAGTCTCATGGTGGCGATCACTCTGAGGGTCATGCCTTCCTTGCTGGCTACGAGATCGGATTTGTTATGCGCGAAAAAGTCGCCGGGAAGCTCCATCTTTATGAGCTACAAAAGTCTTAGCATACGGCAGGGAGATGGGCGTAACTATGCTGACTATTGACAGAGAATATGGGCTATGGAGCCCACTATGCTACGAGTCTAGAAAGGTATTGTCGAGTTTCAAGTTCTGAAAGTGTGAACAGTGATACTTGCCTTTGTTTGTTTCTGGCGAGGCTCGTCCGTGTTTTTGCTGTGGGGCATTTGGCCAATCACCTTCTGGCCCACCAACGCCCTTCCCGGTGGGTAGCGAGAGTTCAGCTTTCTGAACCTGGTTACCCTGTTCTTGACGAAAACAAGTTCAAGAATCTTGAAGTTGAACCTTTGCCATTCTAGACTCGGGCTTTAAAGTCGGCAGCCCAAATTGCACAACCTTTAAAAGGTTGACGCGAGGGGGTTTTGTGGTCTGGGTTTTGGCGAAAAAAAAAATCGGATTTCGTTTCTTTCGTTTTTTTCGTCAAACCCAGCCCCCCCTCGTATTTCGCCCTAGGGGTTGATTGAGTTCCGAAAGTCCCAAATTGCAGGCACGTTTTTTTTCAAAGCTTGCAAAAGCAAGTTCGTCAAGTTTTAAAAGCTTGACCCGCGCGGCCCGCAATTTGGGACGCGGGCTTTAATCTGTTGACACCACAAACCACACCCGGTGGCACTTGAAACCGAAATGCAAAATAGTGAACCCAAACCCAACTTGAAAGACCGCGAGGACGAGTTTGCCAGGCGAAACAAATTTATGACCGGACTGACAAGTTTGTACCGTTTCAATCGCTGCGGACGTTCAAATCGAACACCTTTGATTGGTCCCGCCAAAAGTAAAACATTCTGGGGATGTTGGCGTCGCATTTCTCATTTCGCACGACAATTGCATAGGCGGTCGTTTCGGTCTGTCCAAGCGATTTGGGCCCAGCTCATGTTTCAAGTCGGGATGGGGTGAAATACTACCAATTTTGCGTCGCTAGTTAGAAGTAGCTAAGCTCACCTTAGGCGTTATCTCCTCTCGCCTTCCTTACCCACGCGATCACTTCTCATGCCCCATAGCCTTCCCGTTCCGTTGCGTTCGTCGTCGCCCATCCCGTCGCGCATCCTCTCTCCCGTCCCGTCGCTCCCCTCGTCGCCCTTGCGGACGCCCCGAAACTCCCTCCCGACGCGCATCCTCTCTCCCGTCTCGTCGCTCCCCTCGTCGCCCTCGCGAACGCCCCGAAACTCCCTTCCGTCGCGCATCCTCACTCCCATCCCGTCGCTCCCCTCGTCGCCCTCGCGAACGCCCTGAAACTCCCTCCCGTGCATCCTCTCTCCCTCCCGTCGCTCCCCTTGTCGCCCTCGCGAACGCCCCGAAACTCCCTCCCGTCGCGCATCCTCACTCCCATCCCGTCGCTCCCCTCGTCGCCCTCGCGAACGCCCCGAAACTCCCTCCCGTCGCGCATCCTCTCTCCCTCCCGTCGCCCATGCTCTCTCTCCGTCGCCCTTTCTCTCTCTCTCTCCGTGGCCTATGCTCTCTCTCCGTCGCCCTTGCTCTCTCTCCGTCTCCCTTTCTCTCTCTCTCCGTCGCCCTTGCTCTCTCCGTCGCCCTTGCTCTCTCTCTCCGTCGCCCATGCTCTCTCTCCGTCGCCCTTGCTCTCTCTTCGTCGCCTTTGCTCTCTCTCCGTCGCATCCTCTCTCTCCCGTCGCCTTTCCTACATCCCGTCGCCCTTTCTCTCCCGTCTTCCACCTCGGCGCTTTCGCGCTCGCCCCGAAATGCCTGCAAGTCGCCTTTCGTTTCTCCCCTCCCATCTCCCAACACCCTACCATTCCGCGATTTGCGCCCAATCCGCGCTCTCCGTGCGTCCTCGTTCGTTCTCCCTTTTTTTTTTTTTATCTCTAACCCGAAACTCTCTGTTTTTATCCGCAGTTCTGCTTTTCCTATGCCGTTTTTGCCGCCCCAGCAGGCACATGTCTAAGGCGTTTGTTGTGTATGACTTGCACATGCAACACTTGAAATCACATATGATTGAGATTTGCACGTCGCCTACTTGCGACGCATGCTTGCGATGTTTTTGTGCGAAATTGTGTGATTCGTTGAACGCGTCTGAAAAACTGAACAAAACAACACTTCGACCGTCAGAACCTTTACAAAGTTAGTTTGAGTTTTCAAGTGGACCCAACTAGAAGGGGGGGGGTCACTATTTTAGCTGCTGGCTTTAAGATACGGTAGCTTCCCAATCAACTCAAAAACCCTACACTCTATTTGTGGGAGGAACCAGGCTGTGAGAGGAGGGCAAGCAGCTTCCGGCTGTGCAGCACTTGCTTCCTGCTAAATCGAAACTGCACCGCCTTCACCTTCTCCTCCAGCACTGGCGTAAGTACTGCATATCTGGAGTCACTCTAAAAGTGTCAGTTGGGAGGGCATGCAGCTTCCAGTCGGGTCAGCACACCGTGCAGCACTCGCTTCCTGTTCAGCCGGAACTGCACTGCTGTTACCTTCTCCTCCAGCACTGGCAGCAGCACTGCACACCTGCACCGCACTCCCATCACTGTCATCCTCTCTCCTCCCAAACTCCCTCCTCTTGATTTCCCTCCTCTCAACTTCCCTCTTGTCAATCTCCTTTCTGTGAGTGTCTCTCCTGATCCGTCTCCCCCTCTCTCACCATCTCCGCCACCTCCTCTTCGCCACTCCTCACAACCGCTCTCCTCTTCCTCCCTTCTCCTCCGCTCGTCATTGCCCCTCCCTTCTACCTCTTCACCCTCCTTTCCTCCCTCTCCCACTACCTCTCTCATCCTTCCCTTTCCTCTCCCATCCTCCCCACCACCTGCCCCCACCTTCCCGCCGCTCTTGCACCGCTCTAGCTCCCTCAGGATCGCTTCGTCCTCTTCTATGCTGGACGGCATCTGCTGCAGCCGCGCCTGCGCTAGCAGACGAACGGTGTCGGCCGCTGCTTGCAGAGCAGGCAGCATGTCAGGGGAGGGTGAGGAGAGGAAGCGGCAGGAGCTGTTGCTGACGGCCCAACCTAGGTAGACTGCTGAGCTGGTAAGGACTGCAGGGGGATCTGTGTGATGGGGGAAATAAGAAGAGGAGGGAGAGGGAGAGCGGGTGGGGGGGCGGAAAGGGGTGAGGAGAGGAAGTGGCAGGAGCTGTTGCTGACGGCCCAACCCAGGTAGACTGCTGAGCTAGTAAGGACTGCCGGGGGATCTGTGTGATGGGGGAAATAGGAAGAGGAGGGAGAGGGAGAGCAAGTGGGGGGCGGAAAGGGGTGAGGAGAGGAAGCGGCAGGAGCTGTTGCTGACGGCCCAACCCAGGTAGGCTGCTGAGCTAGTAAGGACTGCAGGGGGATCTGTGTGTGTATAAGGGGAAAAGTATAAGAGGAATGGAGCAGCAGCATGTCAGGGGCGGGTGAGGAGAGGAAGCGGCAGGAGCTGTTGCTGACGGCCCAACCTAGGTAGACTGCTGAGCTGGTAAGGACTGAAGGGGATCTGTGTGATGGGGGAAATAAGAAGAGGAGGGAGAGGGAGAGCGGGTGGGGGGCGGAAAGGGGTGAGGAGAGGAAGCGGCACGAGCTGTTGCTGACGGCCCAACCCAGGTAGACTGCTGAGCTAGTAAGGACTGCCGGGGGATCTGTGTGATGGGGGGAACAGGAAGAGGAGGGAGAGGGAGAGCGGGTGGGGGGCGGAAAGGGGTGAGGAGAGGAAGCGGCAGGAGCTGTTGCTGACGGCCCAACCCAGGTAGACTGCTGAGCTAGTAAGGACTGCAGGGGGGTCTGTGCGTGTATAAGGGGAAAAGGAGAAGAGGAATGGAGCAGTATATTAGGGGCAGGTGAGGAGAGGAACTGCAGGTGAAGCGGATGATACTACACGCTGTGGAGCGGTCTCTCAAAATCCTCGAGCAACATGTTTAGCAGTGCCACATTAGTCTCCAAGTTTCAATGTGGTGATGGATCGTGGACTCATTGTGCTTTCTTGAGTGCCGATTACAGCTAGCAGTGTCTTTTCTTCAAATTTTATAATACATCTGATGCATCAGCGAGTCGAAAACCTAGGGAGGACCCTGCTAGCTGTAATCGGCACTCAAGAAAGCACAATAAGTCCATTATCTATCACCACATTGAGTTGAAAATTGGGAACTCATGTGACACTACTAAACATGTTGCTCGAGGATTTTGAGAGACTGCTCCATAGCGTGGAATATCATCCGCTTCACTCATAATGCGGCAGAAGGTAGTACAGAGCACCAAAAGCAGCAGCCACCAGATGTGTTAGTAAATTCTAACAAAACTGCATTGTTCACTGAACCACCCCTTTGATACTGCAAGTAGTAGAACACAGCAGCAAGCGCAGCCACCAGATTCCACGAGCCCTCTCGCCCACACCGACACGCCCACACTCCCATTGACCCACCTCTCATATGCTGGAGGTAGTAGAACACAGCAGCAAGCGCAGCCACCAGATTCCACGAGCCCTCTCGCCCACACCGACACGCCCACACTCCCATTGACCAACCTCTCATATGCTGGAGGTAGTAGAACACAGCAGCAAGCGCAGCCACCAGATTCGGTTCCACGAGCCCTCTCGCCCACACAGAAACACCCACACTCCCCTCCTTGTCCGCCTCTGTCCTCTCCTCCACTCCCCCCAGCACCTCCTCCACCTCGCTCCCTCTCCTGATCCGCTGCATCAACTCATACAGTGTGCCACCCTGCTCCGCCACGCCGTAGAACTTCCCCCCTTCCTCCTCTCGCTCCCTCACCACTGCCTCCACTGCCCTCGCTGCCACACGCCACAGCTGCCGCTTCAGCCGATGCAGTGGAATCGTTAAGTTCTCGGCACCAGCAGCAGCAGCACTCCCCCACACAAGCAGCAGCTTCTGCTTAATCTCTTCCCGCCAAGGGATGGAAGAGGGAGCTGGTTCAACGCGGCGGGAAGGGCTGGCAGCACTGCCAGCTGTAGTATGAGCTGCAGCCTCGGCTGCATCCTCTGCTGTAGCCTCGGAAGTGGCGGCTGTAGCAGCATCAGCAGCACTGCATGCGTGCTTCAGATCGGTAGAACAAGCAGACACGGCAGCAGGACAGGCAGCAGCAGCAGGAGCAGCAGCAGGAGCAGCAGCAGCAGCAGCAGCAGCAGCATCGCATACAGCTTTCATCTTGTGCTCTTCAGCAGCAGCAGCAGCCATACAGTGGCCTTTGCTCCCCTCCTCTCTTGCCACACAAGCAGTTGTTATGGCACCCTCTCCTCCTCCTCCCGCTCCTCCCTCTGAACCCCTCTGTCCCTCCTGTTGCACTGCCAGCTCGGCCTCTCGCTGTTGCTTCAACCCGTGGTGGATCAGAGCGGCTTCCTCGTTGCCTAGCCCTCGCTGCTGCTTCACTCCGTGGTGGACGAGAGCGGCAACGAGGTGAACAGCGTGGGAGAGCGACGGCAGAAGCGGAGCATTGTCGAACATGTTGGCGGGCAGCACGAAGCCGTACGCTTCCAGTAGATCCTCGTTGCTCCGCTGCCCGTAGCTCGTGCTCACCTCCTCGCCCCGCCTCACCCCCGCTGTTGCCACAAACTCAAACGTATCCCCGTTGGCGCTAATCTGTGGGGGGGATGGTGGGTAAGAGGAAAGGAGAAAGGAGGAATCGGGGAAAGAGGGGAAGGTGGGGAAAAGGTGGGGAGCTGCATAGGAGAGCGAGGGCAGCAGGGGGGCGTGGTCGAACATGTTCCCCGGCAGCATCACGAAGCCGTACGCTTCCAGTAGGTCCTCGTTGCTCCGCTGCCCGTAGCTCGTGCTCACCTCCTCGCCCCGCCTCACCCCCGCTGTTGCCACAAACTCAAACGAATCCCTGGTGGCGCCAATCTGTGGGGGAGAGGGGTAGGCGCGGTGGGGAAAAGAGAGGGTAGGGAGGGGGCGGCTATTTTTGAGTCGACTCAAAAATAGCCTCACTTCCGCTGTTGCCGCAAACTCAGACGTATCCATGTCGGCGCCAAAATGTGTGGGGGAGGGGAGGCCGGCGAGAGAGAGAAGGTAGGAATGAGGAGACACACAAGCGAGGAGGGAACGGCGAGGGGATGGCCTTGAAGGACAGGGCCAAAAGATAAGTCGATTTTTCAGTAGACAAAATTTTTTCGGCTTATCACATGAACATGGTCAAAAGATATAGACTATGACATAGTGGGCACAGTACCGAGTAGGCGGTTCGGAAGTCGTTGCTGTGGTCGAAGAACTCAGCAGGCGGCACCAGCAGCACCGCACTCTTCTTCAGCTGCACCTCCACTGCCCCCGAACCCCCCTTCGAACCTCCCCTCGAACCTCCCTCCGAACCTCCCTCCGAACCTCCTCCCGAACCTCCACCCAACCCTTCCCCCAAACCTCCCCTCGTTGCTTCTACAGATTCGTCCACGGCAGCAGTGCCTGTCGGTTTGTACGGCACCACATTCCCCCACCACCGCGGGTCGTCAAAGCCGCGCGACTGAACGACAGAGAGCGCCCACATGAACTCGTGGAAAGATGCATTGGCAAGCACAGTGGGGCCGCAGCGCCGATACTCAAACTCGTAGCTCGCCAGATTGGTGCGCACCTGAATGGTGGTTATGGGAGGGGGTCGAGGGATAAGAGGGTGGCAGGCATGCACAAGCACTGAGGGGCCGCAGCGCCGGTACTCAAACTCGTAGCTCGCCAGATCGCTGCGCACCTGAAGGGTGGTTGTGTGGGCGGGGAAGGAGGAGGAAGGGGGTGCAAGCGAGGAAATCTGGGTTTTAGAATTGACGCTGGGTCGCATATACGAGATGATGGGAAAGCTGCAGGGGTTTGATGTCGACTCGATGGAAGCCGGGCAGAAGAAGCTGACCGACGAAGTCGGCAGGAAGATCGACAACATGGCGTCCGCGTGTTCAGCCACTCCAGAACAAGCAATCATCCCTTGTTCAGAGCAATGAATAAACAAGCAAACAAGCAAATAGATAAATAGACAAGTAAATAAAGAAATGAATGAATAAATAGATATATAAATAAATAAATGAACGAATGAATAAATAAATAAATAAACAAACAAACAAATGAAAAAATAGATAAATAAATAATTAAACAGCGTACAACTTTCACAATTGACGGAGCCTGAAGCTCCTCTAGCGTCTCCTGCTCGAAAAAGTACGGCAGGGGGACATGGCGCGGCAGCAGCTGCAGGTACGGCCACCAGAAGGACTGCGTCCTCGTTTTAAGCATCTCCCTTAGCAGCCACGCGGCGGCGATAGTGAAGGACCACACAGGCCCGGGGTACGGAGGCCCCCCTATGGCTTGCAGCATGGCGGGGGTGGTGACCCAGAGGGAGGAGGGAATGGAGAGGAGCACCGAGTCCTCTTCGTGATCCCTCCCTGCCCGCACTGACAGCTGGCGCCTGGCACACGTGTGTAAGGGGAAGGATAGAAGGAAATGTAGAGTTGGAGAGCATGGCGGGGGTGGTAATCAAGAGAAAAGTGAGGATGGAGAGGAGCAATGAGTCTTTCTCGTGATCACGCCCTGCCCGGACCGATAGCTCGCGCCTGCATGGGGAGAGGCAGGGCGAGTGCAACAAAGGAGTGGCGGAGGAGGGATAGAAAGGAAAGAGAGAGGCCAAGGGCGTGGTTTAGTTTGGAGAGTAAAACTCGGTGTGGAACAGGGGAGGGTGGCATGCACGGATCGAACGTGACATCAGTTAACTTTTGAGTCGACTCAAAAGTCAGCAGGGGAGGGTGGCATGCACGCACGGATGGGACATGACATCATCAACCTCCTTGTGCTCAACCCACCCATTCGCCTCGACTCGATTTTTTAGTCGAATCAAAGATAGAGTCATCATACGTGGCATGCACAGATTGGACATGACATGACATGACATGACATGACATGACATGACATGACATGACATGACATGACATGACATGACATGACATGACATGACATGACACACATCACTTTACCCAGATTCCCCTCCTTGTGTTCAACCCACCCATTTGCCTCGACTCACCTCCCGTCCCTCACCTGCTGTCCTGCTCATCATTGCCCGCCGTCTCATTCCAGAAGACAATCTGCCAGCACAGCAAGGGGTGTTAGAATTAGGCTGTCAACATTTTGTGTACTATCTTTTATATCGGTGCAGGTTATTTGCGGGTTAGATGTAGTTTGTAATCCCAACCCTATCTGGTTGGGATTCCCTCGTAATCCTGCAAATCTGCCAACTCACCAATTGGAGATTTGCTGGGATTCCCATCCCATCCTTTCCCTAGCCTTTCCCAACCCAACCTCGTTTGTACTTAAGGCCTAGTGCCTTCTTTACTAATCAATCAGTTGAGATCCTTTTCTATCATGGTATCGAGCTAGTAAATTCCGCTCACGCGGAATCCGATCCTTGGCGTCGCGATCATTTCTTTTCCTTCGGCTATGGCGTCTTCGGTTCCCGCCTTCTCCGCTTAGCGTTTTTTCGCCTTCACGTCTTCGCGCTGGTCAAAAGCGCTTTCCGGCTCTGTCTCCGCGCATTTCCGATTTCAAGGGCGGCACATTTCTCCATCAATTTCTGTCATCGTAAGCTATGGAAATTCAAATTTCCGTGGCAAATTTCTCACATTCTTAACTTCGAACAGGTTTCATCGGCGCAGCAGAGCAGGTTTCATCGGCGCAGCAGAACAGGTTCAGTGGCGCAGCAGAGCAGGTTTCAGCGGCGCAGCAGAGCAGGTTCAGCGGCGCAGCAGAGCAGGTTCAGCGGCGCAGCAGAGCAGGTTCAGCGGCGCAGCAGAGCAGGTTCAGCGGCGCAGCAGAGCAGGTTCAGCGGCGCAGCAGAGCAGGTTCAGCGGCGCAGCAGAACAGGTCAGCGGCGCAGCAGAACAGGTCAGCGGCGCAGCAGAACAGGTCATCGGCGCAGCAGAACAGGTCATCGGCGCAGCAGAAAAAGGGGCATCGGCGAAGCAGAACAGGTCATCGGCGCAGCAGAAAAGGGGGCATCGGCGAAGCAGAGTAGCAGAGCAGGAATCGCATTCTTTTTCCCGAAATCGCATTTTTCCGCGTTTCGGCCTTCTTCAATTTTCAAAATCGCCGCGCTGCGCGCAGCCGAATGCGCTCCGCTCCACTTCGCTCCGCTACGTATCGGTGACTTTAGCGCTGCGCTCTGCGCGAATGGCGACTTCAACTTCTACCCTTGCCGGGAACCTCATCGTTCTCAACCTCGCTCCCAACGGCACGAGCACCAACTTTGGGGAATGGTGCTATGGAGTGGAGAAGCACCTCCTTAGCACGGAACTGAAGGGGATTTGCCTCAAGGACATCCTCCTCAACCGCGGCAAGGGGAAGATGCCTCTCCCTCCCGATCCCCTTGGCGAAGGCGCCACTACCGCAGAGAAGGCCGCATTTGATGCTAAGACCACCAAGTACGAGACTGATTTCAGTGTGTGGGAGCAGGCAGATGCAGCAGTTATTAGGGTTTTCATCACCACCACTCCGGTCGAGCTCGTCAAATCCTACCGCACCTTTCGCTCCGCTCATGCCATTTGGAAGTACCTCCAGGACCGTTTTCATGACAAGACAGCAGTGGGTGTTGCCATCCTCATTCCTCGAATGTTCCAGGTCCGCCTTGAGGAATGCCCTGGCATGGCAGATTACATCTCTGAAATCCGCAACATCCATGAGGAACTCAAGGACATTGGGATTATTTTCCCCGAACAGGCACCTGCAGCTGGGCTACTTGTAGGACTGACCCCGGCCTACAATGTTACCAGCTCCATGCTCAAGCAACTTCCCACCAAGGAACTCACCTTCGAAAAAGTCGCATCGGCTCTCCTTTCCGCCGAAAAGGACCTTGCAGCCCAAGCATCCGTCAATGCTGTGCGCTATACCCCTGGAATCCCATTCCGCTCCCAGCAGGGACCAAGGCGCAACTCCTTTCCCCCATGCCCCTACATCATTAGGAAGGGTCCACGTGCGGGGCAGAAATGCGGAGGCACCAACCACCCTGAGGCAACTTGCTTCAAGAAGCGAGATGATGAGTGGTACGACGTCCATGGCGTCTCCACCGGCAAGCGCCCTCCCAACTGGGCCCCACCCCGTCGCGTGAACCAGGTTGAGGCAGTGGAGGAACCTAGTCCCTCAGTTGATAGCACCCCATCTGATGTTCGCCTCAACCTGTTGTTCTCTGGTGCTGGTCTTATTAATGAGAAGGGGTCGCAGTACATCGGTGTTTCAAACACACAAGGGATCGAGTTCATACTAGACAGTGGTGCCACCCACACAGTCCTCAAAGACCAAACCGCATTCGTTCCTTACCAGGCTCCCATCCCCCTCCTTGGAGCCGACTCTAGCTTCTCCATCCAATGCCATGCTTCATGCTGCCGCCCTCCACAATCTCCATCCCCATCCTCATCACACCCACACCACCCCCGCTGAGCTGTGGACGGGTCAAAAGCCATCCGTCCGCCCTCTTCGTGTCTGGGAGTGCACTTCCTATGTCCTCCTCAACTCCCAAGCTCGTCGTGCGGCTGGCGGCAAACTTGCTCCCAAAACCATCACGTGCGTGTACCTCGGCCACAACTTAGATTCGCCAGACTACCTCTTCCTCCATCCTTCCACCAACAAGCTCTATCGTAGCCGGGACGTTTACTTCGATGAGTCCCATCCGTTCTACCCCTCCTCCAAGGCTTCCCCCTCTCCTCCGCCTCCCTCTCTTACTTGGGCTGACTTTGACAGTCTCCCTCTTCCCGACACTCCATCTCCTCCTCTTCCCGACACTCCACCTCCTCCTCTTCCCGCTCCCTCCACCATTTCTGATCCCCCATCACCCGCTTCCCCCTCCAGTACCACACAGTCTCCCTCACTCCTTCCCTCCTCCGCTCCCTCTCCTCCAACTCCTCTCGCACCTCCTCCCGCTCTCGCTCCTCCTCCTCCTACCGAGCCCGTTCCTCTCAAAACCTACCACCGCCGTCACCCTCCTCCTCCTCCTCCGCCTCCCCCTCCTCCTCCTCCTGCTCCTACCCCGGAACCCGCTCCTGTTTCCTCTCTCCCTCCCACTCCCGTCTCCCCTACCGCTACGCCTCCTCCAGCTCCGCCTCCCTCCCCCATCGCTTCTCGCACCCGCTCTCGCAAACCTCTACAACCGCTCTCCCTTTCCGTTCGCGTCTCTCTCAATCCTCCTCCTGTCGGGGGTGATTATTCTCTCATGCCCTCCCTCCTTGAAGACAGACATGAGGAGTTGATTGATATCGACTCGGCCATCCACGCGCTCTGCTTCCTCTTTCCAGACATCGCAGACTCTCCCACCCTCAATTTCTCCGACAACCCCTCCATCCCCACACCTCTCACCTATGCTGAAGCAGTCTCTGGTCCTCACGCCGCTCAGTGGTTGGGGGCCATTGTCGCAGAATGTGAGGCCTTCATTCACACAGGAACTTTCACAGATGTCTCTCCTCCCTCCGGCGTCAACATTGTGAAGGGAAAATGGGTTTTTCGGGTAAAACAACTTCCAGGCGAATTCCCTGTCTTCAAAGCCCGGTACTGTGCCAACGGATTTACCCAAAAGCATGGACTGGACTTCTTTGAGACATTCTCTCCCACCGCCAAACCTCCCACACTGCGCACCCTTCTCGACGTCGCTGCTCGAGATGACATGGAGGTTGACTGCATGGATGTGTCTTCTGCATTCCTGCAAGGGATCCTTCGAGAGGAAATCTATATGGAGCGGCCCGAAGGATTTCCAGCTCCTTTTCCACCAGGCACTGTATGGAAGCTGAATCGGCCAGTGTACGGCCTCAAGCAAGCTCCCCGGGAATGGCACAACAAGCTCAAGAGCACCTTAGGGTCCCTCAACTTTCACCCATCCACCTCTGACCCCAGCCTCTTCATTCGAGCAACACCATCCCGCTTCTTCATCCTGGTTTATGTCGATGACATGATCCTTGTCACCAAGGATCAGACGGAGCTGGCAGCAGTCAAGACTGCACTTGGTGAGAAGCTGGCCATGAAGGACCTTGGGAAGCTGACGAACTATCTGGGAATGGAAATCACACGGGATCGCACTGCCCGCACCATCACCCTCTCGCAGAAGTTTTACATCAACAACGTTCTGACGAGGTTCAAGATGGAGGAAGCAGCACCAATGCCCACCCCACTCTCTCTGCAGCACCAACTCACTGCACCCTCTGTTCCCTCACCTGAGCCCTGTGACGAGCCTTACCCCGAGCTCGTGGGATCCCTCATGTACGCGATGATGTGCACTCGACCGGACTTAGCCTATCCAGTCAGTGTACTGTCCCGCTACGTTGCACCTGGTCGCTTCACTCGCCACCACTGGTCTGCCGCCAAGCGGGTTCTTCGCTATCTCAAAGGCACACAGGATTATGTGCTCACACTTGGCGGCTCTTCCCCTGTTCGCCTTGAGGGGTACAGTGACTCATCCTATGCTGATGACCAGAGTGATCGGCGCTCTTCCCAAGGGTATTGCTTTACCCTCGGCAGTGGGGTTGTCAGTTGGCGCTCCACTCGGTCGTCCTCCGTCTCACTGTCGACCTGTGAGGCAGAGCTGTATGCCGGGCCGGGACCATGGCTGCTCAGGAGGCTCGTTGGCTCTCCTTTCTGCTGACAGAACTGGGGTATCCCCAACCAACCCCAACGCTTTGGTGTGACAACGAGAGCACCATTCATCTCACCAAGGACCCCGTTTTCCACGGCCGCACCAAGCACATTGAAGTCCGTCACTACTTTCTTCGTGAGCTGGTGCAGCGCAACCAGCTGAAGGCTGAACACATTGCCTCGGACTGCAACCTTGCTGACTTGTTTACCAAGTCGCTTGTTCGCGAGGACCATTACCGCCTCCTCTCGGCCATGGGTGTTGGGCCTCCTTGTGGCTGATGTGTTGCAGCCTAGGGGGTGTGTTAGAATTAGGCTGTCAACATTTTGTGTACTATATTTTATATCGGTGCAGGTTATTTGCGGGTTGGGTGTAGTTTGTAATCCCAACCCTATCTGGTTGGGATTCCCTCGTAATCCTGCAAATCTGCCAACTCACCAATTGGAGATTTGCTGGGATTCCCATCCCATCCTTTCCCTAGCCTTTCCCAACCCAACCTCGTTTGTACTTAAGGCCTAGTGCCTTCTTTACTAATCAATCAGTTGAGCTCCTTTTCTATCAAGGGGTGGTGGCGATAGAACAAAAGACAATGGAATGGAACTGTGAGGAGGCACTCAAAGTCTCAGTCTGACTTTTGAGTCGACTCAAAAGTCAAAGTCTCAGTCTGACTTTTGAGTCGACTCAAAAGTCAAAGTCTCAGTCTGACTTTTGAGTCGACTCAAAAGTCAAAGCCTCAGTCTGACTTTTGAGTCGACTCAAAAGTCAAAGTCTCAGTCTGCGGCTGCTACTTGATAAAAGTGTTTTTTTGAGATGTCTCAAAACGGCACTCAAAGTCTCAGTCTGCTGCTGCTACTACCATGTGAGGCACAAACTAATGTTTTTACTCAATGCCAACGCACCTCGATCCCTGAGCCAGGCTTGCTATAGTCCGCCATGCCATTCGCGCGCACCCACTCCACAAACACCCTCACCCGCTCCTCCTCCCCCATGTCGCCCATCCTCTCCTCTGCCACCTCACTCCACACCCCTGCCCTCCCCGTCAGCTCACTGCCTCCCCTCCCAAACCCCATCCTCCTGCTCTCTCCAACCACCCTGGAATGTGGGCCCAGCCTTTTTCTTTCTTGCACCCTACCTTCCTTCTCTCCCTTCTTTCCCTCCTTTCCTTCCACTCCCTCCTCTCCCTCCTCTCCCTCCTCTCCCTCCTCTCCCTCCTCTCCCTCTCCTTCCCCCTCCGTCTCTTCCCTCCCTTGGTATGAAACAGCTGCTGCATCTCGTTCTGCTGCTGCTGCTGCTGCTGCTGCTGCTGCTGCTGCTGCTGCTGCTGCTGACGTGACGGTTACTGATTGGGGCTTGCAGGCAGAGGCGAGGCGATCGGAGGCAGCCAGTAGCATGCTTCGCTTTCTGTCGAGGAATCGCAGCAGTGAATGGGAGGGCGCCACGTGGGCAAGCACGGATGGCCGGCAGGCCTGCAAGAGGGGCATGGCATGGTGGATGGCATGGGATGGCATGGTGGATGGCATGGGATGGCATGGTGGATGGCATGGGATGGCATGGTGGATGGCATGGGATGGCATGGAATGGCATGGCAGGGATGAAAGATTGACGTGATAAAAGGAAGACTTGAGAGGTCTGTAACATCCCACTGTATTCCCCCTAAAAAATCCCACTGTATCCCCCTATAAATTCTCACTGTATCCGCACTAAAAGATTCCACTGTATCTCCCCAATAAGATCCCACTGTATCCCCACTATAAGATCCCACTCTATCCCTACTATAAAATCCACTGTGTCCCCACTAAAAAGTCTCACTCTATCCCCACTATAAGATCCCACTCTATCCCCACTACAAGCTCCCACTCTATCTCGCACCTCATCAACTTGAATCGAGTTGATCCTCGCTGCTCTCCCTTCCCGGAAGACTATCCCCTTCTCCACACACCCATGCCTTTGCCCCCTCCAACGCCTGCTCTATCCTCACGAGCGATTTTTGAGAAATCTCAAAAATCGCTCACAAGGACTATCCCCTTCTCCACCCACCCATGCCTTTGCCCCCTCCAACGCCTGCTATATCCTCACCATAAGTCCCCCCTTTATCACTCACCGCATCAACTTGAACCGAGTTCATTCCCGCTGCTCTCCCTTCTTGGCACACCATCCCCTTCTCCACCCACCCAGGCTTTTGCCCCTCCCAATGCCCTTCCATTCACATTGCCTGCACCATCCCCGCTACAAGCTCCCACTGTATACCCACTACAAGCTCCCACTTTATCTCTCACCTCGTCAACTTGAACCGAGTTCATTCCTGCTGCCCTCCCTTCCCGACAGACCATCCCCTTCTCCACCCACGCCTTTGCCCCTTGCAATGCCTTCTCTATCCTCGTTAAAAGCTCCCCCACTGGCCGCTGCAAGCTGCTGAAAACCACGTCTAGGATCACAGGAAGGTCCGTCAGGTGAGAGGAGGAGGAGGAGGAGGAGGAGGAGGAGGAGGAGGAGGAGGAGGAGGAGGAGGAGGAGGAGGAGGAGGAGGAGGAGGAGGAGGAGGAGGAGGAGGAGGAGGAGGAGGAGGAGGAGGAGGGGGAGGAGGAGAGGGGCAGGAAGAGCGGGTGGGAGGGGAGGGAGAGCAGCGGCATGTGCGTGCAGGTGGTGGTGCCGTCCACATTCCACGCCACTGCCACGCTCACCCGCGCTAGCAGCGCTGGGTCGGGCTCTGAAGGAGACGTGGGGGGGGGGGGGGGGTGGGGGTCGGGGAAGGTAGTGAGGTGGGAGGGGAGGATGAACATGAGCAGGTGGTGGTGCCGTCTAGCAGGTGAGCGTGGCACTGGTGGAGGTTCCACGCTCACCTGCGCTAGCAGTGCTACCTTTCCCATACATTCCCCAGTGCTACCTTTCCCATACATTCCCCAGTGCTACCTTCCCCAGCACTACCTTCCCCAGTAACAGCCAGCAGCACAGCGGCACTGAACTGAGCAACGAGCTCAGGGTCCATCCTGCCATCTGCATACACAAACAGCCCCTCCTCCCCCTCCTCGCCCTCCTCCTCCTCCTCACCCTCCTCCTCCTCGCCCTCCCCTCCCTCCTCGACCTCCTCCCGCTCCTCATTCTTCCCCCCAACCCCCTCTCCCTCCTCTCTCCCTTCTTTCTCCGCTGCCACTCTCACTCTCCTCGCCAGTCTCTCAGCCAATCGCACGCGCATGCCTCGCCGTCGCTCCCAGAACAGCATCTGCTGCAGCACACGCCCCATCCCCTCCAAATCCCACTCCCCATCCCCAGAAGAACTATCAGCCATGTGTTCCCCAGCTTCCAACCTCTCTGCACTGCTGTACTTTCCAGCTTCCAACCTCTCTGTACCGCTGTATACCCCAGCCCATTCCCCACCACCCTCTCCCGAAACTCTTCCCGTGTCCTTCTGAGATTGCCCTCGCAGGAACGGGTTGGGAGCGCCACAACGGCTGTCGGAACCCGTGTGGGTGATAAGGTTTCGTTTCAGGGCAGCAGAGAGGAGAAGGTCTTTCACGGCCCGCACTTGCTCCACTGCCTTCCTGCCTGCTGCTGCAGCCCTCGCTTCAAAGAGCGCTCGAAGGGAAGGATCAGGGAAGGCGGCCGTTGAGATGCTGCGAGTGACGCTGAAGAGGGTGGGGAAGATCTGTGAGGAGAGGGGAGGAGGGGAGTAAAGGGAAGGAGGGGAGGAGAGCAAGTCTGAACGTGAGGAAAGTTTAACAGGCACCAGACAAACCCCATGATAGAACTGGTCTGCGTTTTTCGAATGTTCTCAAAATAACATATTCAGCCAGGTCTGCTGTAGGCAGACGCTCAACTAGAGAGGCACTCGAAACACTCCACTCCAACGGACATGACACGTGCAAAGCCACCAAGACCGCTCACAAATCACCTGCACCGCTCACAGCCCATGTGCACTGCTCAGCACCGACCTGGACTGTTTGAGAACGGACCTGCACGCGGTCGAAGGCGGAACAGGCAGAGATGATCCCGAGGGAGAGGAAGGCATCGTCATTAGACAGCAGCGTGACCGGCGACACATGGCTGTCCGCCTCCTCCACCTCGCCCAGAGATGTCAAGTGCACTCCGCCCTCCCCTTCCTCGTCTTCATTGCTCTCCCACTCTGCTGCTGTGCCCTGAGCGTCTGTGTGCGCTGCTGCGGCTGCGTGCAGCGGGTCGGGCAGGCCGCCGTTGAGAGGCAGCACGAGGGCAGCGCCGGTGGGAATGGCCTCTGACGCCCTCAGGTGGAAGCCCGCGTGGGTCAGCTGGGGGGAGGGGTGGGGGCGGAAGGGGGGAGAAGGTGGGATAAAGGTCTTGTGGAATCCTGAGTGGGTGAGCTGGGGGTGCGTGGGGGAAGTCAGGATGCGAGGGATGGGAAAGACAGTGAGTAAGAGGGCTGAAGAACACAAAAAGGACTACATACGGTGAACACCACCCAGCCCGGCCATTGCAGCTTGCCAACGCCATCCGCTCACCTCCCATCGCACGTTCCCTTGGTGCCTCTCATTCGCGCGCGCAACAGCATTCACAAGGGGCACCACCGTCAGCTCAAACCTCACCACACCTTGCCATCATCTCACCTCCCACTGCACCTTGCCATCACCTCACCTCCCATCGCACGTTCCCTTGGTTCCTGTCAGTGGCGCGCGCAACAGCATTCACAAGGGGCACCACCGTCAGCTCAAACCTCACCACACCTTGCCATCATCTCACCTCCCACTGCACCTTGCCATCAGCTCACCTGCCATCGCACGTTCCCTTGGTGCCTCTCATTGGCGCGCGCAACAGCATTCACGAGAGGCACCACCGTCAGCTCAAACCGCCGCTGCTTCTGCTTCTTCCACCCGTTCCCTCCCCTCCTTCCGCCCTTCTTCCCGCCCTTCCTCCCCCTGCCCCCCTGCTCCTGCTCCTCCCCCTCCCCATGCCCCTCCTGCAGGGGCGGCAGGCGCATGGGCAGAGCCAGCGACCTCACGGCCGCCACCGTCGCCAGAAACTGCTGCAGCGACGGCAGCGAGGGGGCGCTGCTGTTGGCGCTGCTGCTGCCGCTGCCGCTGCTGATGCTGGTGCCAGTGCTGCTGGTGCTGGTGGTGGTAATGCTTGTGGTCCAGTTGGCATACTCGTGCTCGTACTGCTGCCTCTCTTTCAGGGCCTGGGTAGGGTGGGAAGTTTAGAAGATGGGGAAAAACGAAGCGGCAGACATAGGGACAAGGAGAGTGGGGGTGAGAGCGTCCAGTTGGCATACTCGTGCTCGTACTGCTGCCTCTCTTTCAGGGCCTGGGTAGGGTGGGAAGTTTAGAAGATGGGGAAAAACGAAGCGGCAGACATAGGGACAAGGAGAGTGGGGGTGAAAGCGTCCAGAAGAAAGGATCGGACAAGGGGCAGGTGCAAAGATGAGAAGGCAAGGACACGGAGAGTGAGGAAGGGTGGGGGTTGGCGTGTGAAGGGAATAGGGCGAGTGCATGTGGCAGTGAATAATGAGAGCGAATTTGTGAGTGACGGTCAAAAGTGCATTTCTAGAGTTGAATATTCGAAGTGAGAGTGAGTGTGGGGAGGCAAAGAGTTAGTGGGCAAGGGAGAGAAAAAGCGAGTGGGGAGAGAGGAGGGGATGGAATAAGAATGGAAGCAATGGAACAGCAGATCAAGGGGAAGGGGGATTGGGAGGGACGCGGGGGGAATAAAAGTGAGAAGGCGAGGGGGAGGGGGAGGGGGAGGGGGAGGGGGAGGGCGGACCTGGTGGAGGAGGGGCAGTTGTGGGAGGTCGTTTCTGAGCATGGGCAGCAGGTGAGCCGTACGGGACGCCAGCAGAGAAGGCGCCAGCACTGCAGGAGTCACTTGCGCTCCCCTGCTCTCCCCCCCGCCCTCACCTCCCCCCTCTCTTCCCCCCGGCTCGCCCCCCTCCCCCTGCTGCTGCAGCAGCAGCAGGCAGGCGGCGAGGGCGCCTTCGGGGGAGAGGAGGAGGCGCGGGGGGAGGGGGGAGGGCGCGGAGCAGCGCGAGGCGTCGAGCAGCAGCGGCAGGGGCAGGCGCAGCAGCAGCTGCCCCGCTGCTATGGGCGCTGCTGCTAGCAGCTGGGGGAAGAACCTGGTGGGGGTTGGGGAGAGATGGGGAAGGGGGAGAGGGAGGAATGGGGTGAGGAAGGGGAAGGAGAGCGGAGAGGGACGTGTGAGTCACTCATCCCGAAGGCCGCTGTGAGCACTTTTGAGGCGCCTAAATAATAATATTTGAGGCGCCTCAGAAGGGGAAGGAGAGCGGAGAGGGAGGTGTGAGTCACTCATCCCAAAGGCCGCTGCGAGCAGCTGTGAAAAGGAGAGTGGAGAAAGAAGAGGGAGAAGCACCCGCCTTGCCACTTGCCCCGCCTTGCCACTTGCCTGTACTTCCTCTCCGTCTCCTTGGCATCTTCCTTCCCCTGCTCCGCCCCATTGCACATTTTCTCCTCCTCTTTCTCCTTCTCCTTCTCCCCCATGCCATCGCCCTCTTCCCCCGCCAGCAGCGCTTGCCCGCCATGCCAGTCCAAGCTAGTGCCATCTGGCTGCTCCGTTCGAAACACTCTCAGCTGCATGGGCGGGCGGTGCATGAGCAGACAAGGGGGTAGCAAGGGGTAGTGAATCAGCAGCGCAGTGCAGCACCCCTGTATGGGTGGTGCAGCCCTTGCCTGCGCTGCCAGTCCAAGCCGGCGTTATCTGGCTGCTCCGTTCGAAACACTCTCAGCTGCACGGGCGTGTGGGTACACGGGCAGAACAGGGGGGTGGTGATTCAGAAACGTAGGATCCTGGCATTGCCCCTCTTCCCTTGCCAGCAGCACTTGCCCAGTCCAAGCCAATGGTGCCTGGCCCGCCCTGCCAGTCCAAGCCAGTATCATCTGGCTGCTCCATTCAAAACAGGCTCAGCTGCACGGGTGTGTGGGCGCATGAGCAGATAAGGGAGCAGTGAGGGGTAGTGAATCAGCAGCACAGCGCAGCAGTGCAGCACCCCTGTATGGGTGCAGTGCAGCGCTTGCCAGCCCTGCCAGTCCAAGCCAGCGTCATCTGGCTGCTCCGTTAGATTCGAAACACTCTTAGCTGCACGGGCGGGTGCACAGACAGCAAAGGGGGTAGTGAATCAGCAACGAACGAACCTCCCGTGCAGGGTTTTTTTTTAGTTCTCAAAAATACCCTGCAAAGTGCAGTTAGATCAGCCGAGTGGCCAAATCAGCCAGGTCAGTCTAGGGTTCATTGCACTTCACAATTTGCACATGACGCGCTCATTGCAGCTATAACACCTCGCTACCCACTGGGTCAAAACGAAGTGTTATATGGCGCAGCGGATTGCCCATTAACCAGCCCACAGGCGTTACAGCAGAACCCTATCCCACCCACTCACTCGAACGCTCTCCCCCTCCAACACTTCTCCGCCCGCCCCATTGGCGCGCAGCCACGTCAGCAGCTCCGCGAACCCGGAACCTTCCAGCGGGATTTCCTCCCATCCCTCCGCGCCACCCTCCGCCTCCCCCTCATCGCCCTCCGCGGAAGTGTCTCCCCCTAGATCCCGCAACAGCCACTCAAATCCCTCGTCCTCCGCCTCCGCCTGCGCAACTCCCGCATGCGCAACTCGCGCATGCGCGGACCCCCAGTCAGCTTCCGCTTGCGCTACTTGCGGTTGCGCGCAGACTGAAGCGGATGAGGGGAAGGTGGAGGGGAGAAGGAGAAGAAAGAAGCAGAGGAGAGGCCACCGGGGGAGGAGACCAGGCCGAAAATTACGAATTCCGCTACGTTGCGCAGCATAATGAGCGCGTCGCGCTGCTGCTGCTGCTGCTGCTGCTGGTAACGCTGCTGGTAATGCTGCTGATGCTGCCGCTACCACTGCCATTGCAAGGAGCTCCTTTTTGTGACATTGACGTGAGATACAATAGCAACCTCACGCGACGCGTGAGTTAGACGTGTTCCATAATTGCTTTCGACCACCATACCAGCCGATTGCTTGCTTGGATTGGCAGGTGTGGCAGGCAAAGAATCTGGCTGGATTATGGGAGTGATGGAAACAATTTTATGCCCTGCATTGAGAGCGACTCGCTATTTGTTACACTACTAGTTCTGCTGAAAATGAAAACCTAAATTCTACGCCTTGCGTTCGCGTTACTCTGTAGTACGAACAGCAGATCAGACAACCAGAATCAAGTCAAATCAGTGTCGTGTTCGTGTCAATATTGGAAGCCCATGATACTCGGATCGTTACGGTTCAAGTTTCTCGTTCAACGCCCATCCAACAGCAAATTGCACTCGAGCTCGTTCCCCGTTCAATCAAAACATTCCATTCCACAGAAGTTGCCGAACAGGGATCGCACAAACTTGTCAATTTCCAGCGTTGTTTGTGACACGCTTTTGTACCGTCACACGCATTGTCAAGTTCAGTTGTGAATTCACGGAACCCAGGTTTTTCTTTCCAGCCGCAATCTGATGTGCGAAGAGCAAGTTTCCTCTCCCGCACTCTCAGCATCCCAGGGGCAGCGAGGTGATTTCTGAAAATTGCTCATGGTATTACTGATCCCCCATTGGACACCATGAGCAAACTCGGGTATCCGCGGAGAAATGCCAGCGTTTTCCGCGCATCGTATCTTCCCCTCGTCCTCTGCGTCCTCCTCGCGCTCATCCTCCGCGCCGCTCTTCTTCCGCGCGCCGGCGGCGATTCCCCCACGTCATGTTCCGCCAGCCATTCGTCCTCCCCCACACGCGGAAGCTGTTCCGCCCCTGCTGATGCTGACGGCTTCCCCCGCTATGATGCTGCGCCAGAGGAACGGTGGGGGAGCAGTGGAGGGGGCAGCGGAAGGAGGATGGAGGAAGGATTCGATTGGCTGCTAGATGATGCTGACGTGGACGCGGATGGGGTAGAGGGAGGGGAGTACGATGAGGATGTGACAATAGGTACTGGTGAGGGTTACAGTAACGAGGAACAGGATGACAGTAACGAGGATGAGCAACTGGATGAGTATCCAAGTGCTGAACTCTTAAAAGAGTCTGGATTCATGGAGTATCTTGATTGGCTGCGAGAGAACGGAGTGGAAGGTGACGTGGCAGCTCCTGGCAGCCCTGTTCGCGTGAGTGAAACAAATCCTTCACTGTATCCCTTTCTGGATCTGATTTCCTTCTTAGTCTTTGCCATCCTTCCTTCGAGTTGACGCTTTCCTTTTTTTTGAAATCTTAGTTCATTAAATCCTGGCTCGGCTGTGTTTCCTCTTGCAGCTCAAGATTCTGAGAATAGAAATGGCTGCACAGGACGAGGAAGAAGGCGAAGGGGAAGAAGGGGAAGACGAAGAGAGAGCAGACAACGACGATCCACCGGAGTACAGGTATCGGCCAATCATTATCATCTGCCGCACATTGCATTCTAGTTCTGGTCAGAGATTCATCGCCTCTCTCACTCCCCGTCCCTCCCTCACTCACAGGTACCACCCATCACTACAATCAGCGCGCACCATCCCAAAAGGCCAACGCCTCTTCTCCATTCCCCTCCGCCTCGCACTCTCCCCCTCCGCCTGCTCTTCCTCCTCTCCACCCTCCCCTCCTGAGCTTTCACCTGAGGGCCATCTGGCGGGCTGTATGCTGCTGCAAGCAGCTGGGGAAAGAGAACAGGCGGCAGAGATTCCGTCCTGGGCGGCAGAGGGCTCGTCTTGGGCGGCACTGGCAGGGGTGCTGCTGCCGCCCGTGAGTGTGGCAAGGCCGCTGCCTCTCATGCTGGATGATGACCTGCGCATGGAACTCAGCTACAAGCCGTTGATTGACAGGGTAAGGTCAATCTGAACCGTCCACTGTCAAGATGAGACGAATTTGAACCGTTCATTGACAAGGTGAGTCTGGCAAGGCCGCTGCCTCTCATGCTGGATGACGACCTGCGCATGGAGCTCAGCTACAAGCTGTTGATCGACAGGGTGAGACGAATCTAAACCGCTTTTTTTTAGGGTACGATGAAAGTTGCAGGCAGGTTGACACGAAACATCATTTTGTTACAGAAAAGGGAGGAGCAGTTTTTGCAGTCTTCTCTTGAGCCTTTCTTGTTGCCTCCCTGTCCTCCTTGGCCCCCTTGTACCCGCTGTGTACGCCCTGTCGCCCTGTGTATCTGTGCTTGCCAGCTAGACTTTTGAGTCGACTCAAAAGTCGCCCTGTGTATCTGTGCTTGCCAGCTAGACTTTTGAGTCGACTCAAAAGTCGCCCTGTGTATCTGTGCTTGCCAGCTAGACTTTTGAGTCGACTCAAAAGTCGCCCTGTGTATCTGTGCTTGCCAGCTAGACTTTTGAGTCGACTCAAAAGTCGCCCTGTGTATCTGTGCTTGCCAGCTAGACTTTTGAGTCGACTCAAAAGTCGCCCTGTGTATCTGTGCTTGCCAGCTAGACTTTTGAGTCGACTCAAAAGTCGCCCTGTGTATCTGTGCTTGCCAGCTAGACTTTTGAGTCGACTCAAAAGTCGCCCTGTGTATCTGTGCTTGCCAGCTAGACAAGCAGGTGGAGCAGTATCAAGGCGAGTATGACGCTTGGATGAACGCCATTGCGAGCCGGTCTACTACTGCAGAGAACCGTGCAGAGAGCAGAGAGGATGTTATTGCAGAGAATGAGGACTTCTCTTTCGAGAGCTTCCTTCAAGCGGTCGCTGCTGCTCTCTCCTTGTCTTTACCGCTGCCCGGAGCAATGGCACCTTCAGAAGAACCTGATGTTCCCCCTGCACTGGCGATAGTGCCTCTGCTGCATCTCATGAGCCGCCCTGCTCCTGTCCAGTCAACAACACTGGGAGCAACAGCACCAGCACCAGCGGCAGTGGCAGCACCGGCGGCTGCGGCAGGGTCAGCGGCAGCAGGGGTCGCGGCACAAGCAGCAGCAGTGAACATTGCAGCAGGGGGAGGTGGAAGCAACGTGCAGTGGCAGGTGGGTGAGGGATGGGGGCAGTGCAAGCCAGTTGCTGATTTGATTCTGATTTTTGTGACAGCTTCACACCTGATTCGTCACTCATTCCTTGCTTCCACCCCTCCATCCCACCTCTCATGCAGGTGACTGGCGACTCCATTGAGGTGTTTTCCAGTGAGGACATCCCAGCACACTCCCCTCTCATCCTCGCCCCAACGTCCGCTCCCATCTCGACAAGCTCTGATTCAACTCACACATCACACATCGGAACGACGACCAGCAGCACCACCACCTCACGCCTCCTCCCTTCATTTCCACCTTCGCTTCTCTCTAACGATGATGTTTACCTAAGCACTGGTACTGTTCCGCAGGACACGGCTTTGGACCGGGTCCTTCTGTTCCCCTCTCTCGCCCACGCCCTCCGCTCCTTCTCCCTCGCGTTTCCCTCCACCGGCCTGCCCGATAAACTGCCCGAGAAAGAGTTTCGGGAGCGGGCAGCGGCGCTGGAGGACCGTGTCGGTCGGGCAGTTCTGGAGGTGAAACGGGATGTTTTGAATGCTGCCCGAAGGGCTGGAGGAGTCACAGAGGGCTTTCAAGATTCAGGTGCAGGAGAGCGGGAGGGCATGGCAGCACAAGAGGGGGAGAGAGGGGAGAGAGGGGAAGGAGGAAGAGAAGAGCAAGGCAATTGGCATGGGATGGAACAGATGTGGTTCTGGGAGATGCGGCGACAGAAGCAGCTGGAGCACAAGAGGAAGCAAAAGGAAGGAGAGAAACACCTGGTGATGGGGATGAAACACGAGGAGAACAGCAAGGAAGAGAAGGAGGAAGGAGTAGCAGGGCAGGTGGATGCAGAGGGGCTCTTTGCCTTTCCTGAAGGGCGGATCGACCCTGAGCTCCTCGCCTACCTCACTGCCCTCGCCCATCTGCGATCCACAGCCACAGGTGAGACACTGTGCCATTGAAATCACTGAAACCAAAACCAAAGCCATACCCATGCCCGGTCGCCTTTGTTTGGACCTTAGTGGTGCCTAGCTTGTGTCTCATGCTTTTCAGGTCTGTCATTACTTGCACCCCATGTCTGCATCCACACTCCTCACTCGTCTCAACCCCCCATCTCAACCAGAGCCCGACCCGGCACTGATAGCGCGGGTGAGCGTGGCAGTGGCGTGGAATGTGGACGGCACCACCACCTGCACGCACATGCCGCTGCTCTCCCTCCCCTCCCACCCGCTCTTCCTGCCCCTCTCCTCCTCCTCCTCCTCCTCCTCCTCCTCCTCCTCCTCCTCCTCCTCCTCCTCCTCCTCCTCCTCCTCCTCCTCCTCCTCCTCCTCCTCCTCTCCATCCCCATCTCCATCCCATTCCTCCACAACCAATCACATACCTCCACCTGTCACCGACCTGTTACCAGCGCTGCGGGCGGCAGCAGGCATGCTGAGGCGGCTGGTTGAGAAGCTTCTGGGCGGCTTCTCGTCGTCCGTTAGCGAGGACGAGTTCATGCTGACGTCAGCGGCCATCTGTAGGCGGTATCGCGATGCTGGGCGACTGGAAGAGGCCCCATCCGGGGTAGGTGTTATCTGGCCCCTATTTCGAGCAGGTGGTATCTGGTCCCCACCCCATCCGGGATAGGTGTTATCTGGCTGCGCCCGTGTCTGGAAAAGCATTCGCCCCCTCCTTCCTGTCTGCTCTTGCCATTCCTCTCTCTCTCTCTCCCCACCTTTGCTCTGCCACCCTGGTTCATGGAAGCACTGTAGCAGGTACAGCAGGTGGTGTGTTTTTCAAACATTCAGAAACCCCCACTGAATCAGATACAACAGGTGCTGCACGTCCTATAGATGTGAAACAAGCTTCTGTCCGAACCAACCACAATCCCCACCCCACCCCTTTCCCCTTATCAGCTCTGCCTGCCGTGGTTCATGGGAGCATTGGAGGAGGTACAGCAGGTGCTGCAGGTGCGGGCCAATAAGAAGCGTGTGCTCATCGACGCCTCTGATTGGCTGCTGCTCGCCTGTGACCCCAAATACGACCTGCGATTGGACGACACAGCGACTGAAGGACCCGCTACTGGGGGTGAGAGGAGAAGAGGTGGTGGGGGAGAGCAGCATCAGGAGGCGGAGGAGGAGGAGGATGAGGAGAAGGAGAGGAGCGATGAGGAGAAGCTGAGAGTGTTCTTGGAGTGGGTGCGGGCGAGGGGTATTCCTGACTTCGGCAAACCACGGTCCACCTTTGAGGTAATCCTGAGGACCTGAGTGATGACTTGCTACTTGAGATGCCATCACGTGATGAAGGCACTTTTCTACCTGAGTTGAGAGGCGCCTTTGAGGTACTTGTGAGAATTCTCTAAGGTAACTGGGTAACTTTTGAGTCGACTCAAAAGTAAATGGGTGGTCAACGCGGCCGAGTCGTTTTGTCTGAATCGATGTCTGATTCTCCTCAGCAGGAGCTAATATCCCTCCTGCCGCATTTCACATTGTTGCAAACCTGTTCCTCCTCCCCCGTCCCCTCCTCTGTCAGGTGCATTTCCGCCATGAGCCCAACAATTCATATTCTGCTTCTCCTAAAGCTCACGGGGAATTTGCAGCCTCCTTGTTGCAGGCCAAAGCCCGGTCCAGGTGAGCTGTGAGTCATCTCGAGATGTGTTGTCTTGTTGCTACAGGCCAAAGCCCGGTCCAGGTGAGCCTTGCTGTGGAATTACCTAATGCGAATCTCATCATGCGTGGAACGTCGTCACCCCTCCTGACTTCGTCAAATCACTTTCGAACGTAACTCCTCCCATGATTCTCTCCGGCCCTCGGCGTGTGATGAGTCGATTTTTGAGTCGACTCAAAAATCGGCTCATCACTTTTGAACGTAACTCCTCCCCATGTTTCTCTCGTGCCCTCAGCCGCCCCTCTCTTTGTCTGCCTACCCAACTCGTCATCCCCCCCACTTATTGCGCCCTCAACACAACCCATCACCTTCCTAGGAAGCAGCTGACAGTGGTGGCAGGGCAGCCAAAGAAGAAAGGCCAGCTGCTGCTCTCCATCCCTCGCGCCCTCTGGGTATCGACGGACACCATGGCAGAAGAGGCAGCGCCCTACGCCAACCCTGTTCTCATCCGTTTCTCCCTTTCTTTGGCCCCCCAACCCATCACCTTCCTAGGAAGCAGCTGACAGTGGTGGCAGGGCAGCCAAAGAAGAAAGGCCAGCTGCTGCTCTCCATCCCTCGCGCCCTCTGGGTATCGACGGACACCATGGCAGAAGAGGCAGCGCCCTACGCCAACCCTGTTCTCATCCGCTTCTCCCTTTCTTTGGCCCCCCAACCCATCACCTTCCTAGGAAGCAGCTGACAGTGGTGGCAGGGCAGCCAAAGAAGAAAGGCCAGCTGCTGCTCTCCATCCCTCGCGCCCTCTGGGTATCGACGGACACCATGGCAGAAGAGGCAGCGCCCTACGCCAACCCTGTTCTCATCCGCTTCTCCCTTTCTTTGGCCCCCCAACCCATCACCTTCCTAGGAAGCAGCTGACAGTGGTGGCAGGGCAGCCAAAGAAGAAAGGCCAGCTGCTGCTCTCCATCCCTCGCGCCCTCTGGGTATCGACGGACACCATGGCAGAAGAGGCAGCGCCCTACGCCAACCCTGTTCTCATCCGCTTCTCCCTTTCTTTGGCCCCCCAACCCATCACCTTCCTAGGAAGCAGCTGACAGTGGTGGCAGGGCAGCCAAAGAAGAAAGGCCAGCTGCTGCTCTCCATCCCTCGCGCCCTCTGGGTATCGACGGACACCATGGCAGAAGAGGCAGCGCCCTACGCCAACCCTGTTCTCATCCGCTTCTCCCTTTCTTTGGCCCCCCAACCCATCACCTTCCTAGGAAGCAGCTGACAGTGGTGGCAGGGCAGCCAAAGAAGAAAGGCCAGCTGCTGCTCTCCATCCCTCGCGCCCTCTGGGTATCGACGGACACCATGGCAGAAGAGGCAGCGCCCTACGCCAACCCTGTTCTCATCCGCTTCTCCCTTTCTTTGGCCCCCCAACCCATCACCTTCCTAGGAAGCAGCTGACAGTGGTGGCAGGGCAGCCAAAGAAGAAAGGCCAGCTGCTGCTCTCCATCCCTCGCGCCCTCTGGGTATCGACGGACACCATGGCAGAAGAGGCAGCGCCCTACGCCAACCCTGTTCTCATCCGCTTCTCACTTTCTTTGGCCCCCCAACCCATCACCTTCCTAGGAAGCAGCTGACAGTGGTGGCAGGGCAGCCAAAGAAGAAAGGCCAGCTGCTGCTCTCCATCCCTCGCGCCCTCTGGGTATCGACGGACACCATGGCAGAAGAGGCAGCGCCCTACGCCAACCCTGTTCTCATCCGCTTCTCACTTTCTTTGGCCCCCCAACCCATCACCTTCCTAGGAAGCAGCTGACAGTGGTGGCAGGGCAGCCAAAGAAGAAAGGCCAGCTGCTGCTCTCCATCCCTCGCGCCCTCTGGGTATCGACGGACACCATGGCGGAGGAGGCAGCCCCCTATGCCAACCCTGTGTGGACGCTCGCCGCCGGAGCTGCGTGGCTGCTTCGGGAGCAGGCTCGGGGGCGAGGCTCGGAGTGGTGGCCGTACCTGCAGATTCTGCCAGCCTACGTGCCTCTGCCGTACCTGTTTGATAATGTGACACTGGACGAGCTACAATCACCCGCGTTTGTGGAACGGGTAGGTGAAAGCAAGCGAGTGTGAAAAGAGCAAGCGACCTTTTCACCCCCTTCCACCACATTTCACAAAGTCGTTTCTTCCAGTCTCTGCTCCTCTCCTGCCTGTGTTTGAGGCGCCTCAAAAGTAGGCTTTTAGTTTATGTGAGGTGTACCTTCCTCCTCGTTCCCCTCTCATGCCTCCCATTCTACTCTTCCTATCCCTTCACACCCCTTAGCACCACTTACGCCCCTTGATAAGTCATCCACAACCCTTTTTCCCCTCCCTCACCCCACCAGATCCGCATGGTGCGTGACTACTACCAGCAACAGTACAAGCTCTGCCACCCGCCAGCTCAGCAGAAGCAAAATAATCGATCTCGTCATGCCTCAATCTTGCCCTGCCCCACCAGATCCGCATGGTCCGTGACTACTACCAGCAACAGTACAAGCTCTGCCACCCGCCAGCCGTCGCCTTTGCCTCGCTCCACCAATTCCTCTGGGCGCTCGCCATCATGAACTCCCGAGCCTTCTCCACTCCCGCACCTGCCCGCCGAACCTCCGCCGAGCCTCACACTGACGGCTTTCCCCAAGAGGAAGAGAGGGAGCAGGAGAGGGGGAGGGGGGGCATGTTGGAGCAGCTGTTGGCACTGCCTGCGTCTGAGAGGCGGCGGTTTGTGGGCGAGCCCATGGCTCTCGTGCCCATCGCAGAGCTCATTGATCATCACCACCCGCACAACGCTCAGTACAAGGTATGTGTGTGTGCCGTTCCATAAGCCAATGTTTGAGGCGCCTCCCACACGGTTTGTGGGCGAGCCCATGGCTCTCGTGCCCATTGCTGAATTGATTGACCACCACCACCCGCACAATGTGTAGTATAAGGTGTGTCGCTCTAGAACACTACACTATGCATTATCCGATGAAACTTCGGATATACCTGTGTTACAACTCGTAGTTTACTGTGGCGGAATGATATGGCTTGTGTATTGCTCCTTAAGCTTCTTCGTTGTTATAAAATTTGTCATATATACATACATATTTTATATAAGATTTGTTTTAATATTATCATTCTTCTGAAGGCGAACATTTGGCACTTCCTGTATGCTAACCGTCCATCCAACCCCCCATATGACCCCACCAGGTGCAGCAGAACAGTTTTGACTTCTACGCCAGGGAGGAGGTTCAGCGCGGTGCAGAGCTCTTCACAGTGTATGGCTACAAGCCCAACCACCACCTGCTGCTGGGCTACGGCTTTGTTCTCGATGACAATCCCTATGATCACGTCCGGCTCTTCCCGAACCTCTCCCGAGCCATCCGAACCGTAGCCTCGGTGATGTACCACAAGGAGGGGCAGGGTGGTGGGAGAAGGATCGGGGAAGGGAGCGGCAGGGAGGCTCGTCCAGGGGAGGTGGATCTGAGGGCAGGTTTGCTGCATGTTTGGGGCACGAGGACCTCTTTGCTGCTTTCAGGAAACGAGGAAGAAGGTGTGGGAGGAAAGAAGGGTGTGGGGGGGAAGGGGGACCTGGGGGGAAAGGGGGACATGGTAGAAAAAGGGGGAATGGGGCGTGAGATGTGGAAGGCGGCAGCAACGGCGGTGGGTGAAGTGGTGAAGGCTCGAGAGGCCGGGGGAACGTATGCGGAAGGAAACAGCCTGCCGCAGCTGCAGCTGCGACAGCGGATAGAGCAGAGGAATGCACAGGAAACGAGGGGGGTCAAGGCGGAACGTCACAGTGGCACAAGCACAAAGACTACGAAAGAGGTTCTTGTAAAGGAGGTGCTTGTAAAGGAGGAGGATGAAGGCGTGGGAGTGTCTGTGTGGGCGGGCGGCATAGTGGAGCCGAATCTCCTCGCTGCACTCGCTGCCAGCTGGCACGCCGTCCACATGTCGCAACGTGAGTAACTGAGACAAACAGAGTATAGTGCGGTGTGGTAGCACATCGCTCATACAACCATCCGCGCTCTCATCCCTCTATTCTCCACTTCAATCTCATTCTCCTTCCCCAGTTTGAGACGTCGTAAACCTGCCTCCTCCCACCGCCTCACCTTCTCTCCCTTCTGTTTTCTCCCTTGCCTCTCTCCCTACATACCCAGCCACTTCAGACCCAGACTACACATCCCTGGCAAGTGCTGCCATTCATTACGGCTGGGCACTCTCCACCTCTGCCTGTCACCACCTCCTGCCGATCGCCTCTTCCTTCACACCCGCTCTAAAAGCCGCTGCTGAAACCGTCCGGCTCTTTGTCGAGGCTCGGTTGAAGCAGTTCCCGACGAGCTTGGAGGATGATGAGGTGGTGATGGAAGAGCTTCGAGCGTGTGAGTCGGCAGAGCGCGGGGGACAGAAGGCAGAGGGTTGGTGTGAGGAGGTACTGCCAATGGTGGAGGAGAGAATTACGGCTGTTCGATATAGGATGCACAGGAAGAAGGTTCTCAAGGATGTTGTGGCACGGTTGCGAGAAACTTGCCCTTGGGAAGTAATTAAGACCGATGTGGTTCAATAGTAACATGGTCACAAAGCCTGTACTGTGACTACGAGCACTATTTTTGTGGTGGTACATATTGGCAGATCCAACATGAGAACGCCTCCATATCCCGATATAACTTAAACGTGTAGAGGGTAATGTTACTCCATAGGCTCACGAATTCTACACGCATAATCGTGCTACCGGTACGCTATATGAGCAACCATGCTAATATCAAATATATATCTATATTTTTAGTAGAAGCTGATAATTCTCTGTACGAGGTGTAGAGTTTTGGATCAATCTGGATTTGTGTGGAAGGTCCAGTGCTGGCGAAACAGTTCGCAGAACCCCTCCGGGTAGCCCTGCGATGCAGTTTCCCGTGGTCATCACCGAACGCAGGGAGTCGCAAGAGGCAGCCAGTCGTATGAGGGGTTTACCGTCCACGCTGGGTGTCAGATCCGCCGCTGGCGATAGAAGCAGGCTCTGCGACTACAGGCTCTCATCCTCCCCATCCATTCCAGCTTTCCCTCCAACGCTTCCCTCCTGCAACCTAAGCATCTGCTATCCCTAGGATCTGTGAACTCCTAAGCTTGGGCCTGCAGGCTTGAACTGTTCTCGTCACCTATTATTTTGACAGATTCTTCGTCGCCTTCTTATTGCCGGATTTATTATTAGTTTCGGCCGGGGGAGGGCCCGCGATGGCCTCGAAAAGGATTCTAAAGGAGCTGAAAGATCTTCAGAGAGACCCTCCTACATCATGCAGTGCAGGTCCAGTTGCTGAAGACATGTTTCATTGGCAAGCGACAATCATGGGTCCTCCAGATAGTCCGTACGCCGGTGGCGTCTTCCTGGTTACCATACACTTTCCTCCCGACTACCCTTTCAAGCCTCCCAAGGTACGATCCGAATCCCTTTGTATTGAATCGCAGCGTTTGATATGTATTGTCTGCCGATTATTTACCATACGGTTCTTCGTAGTTGCCCTGAATCCGTGTGTATTGAATCGCGAGGTTTGATTTGTATTGTCTGCCGACTAGTTACTTTATGGTTCTTCGTAGTTACCCTCCTAAGTCACCTTCGGCAGTCCCGGTCGTCGAGCATGGTTATCTGTACTTGCTGTTTCGAAAATCTTCAGTCGCAACATGACCTTATGTCGCTCCATTACGCTCCAATACTGCAGGTCGCCTTCAGGACGAAGGTATTTCATCCCAACATCAACAGCAACGGAAGCATTTGCTTGGACATTCTGAAGGAGCAGTGGAGTCCGGCCTTGACCATTTCTAAGGTAGTTAACTGAGGTTTTTGTTCGATTGTCACTGTCTGCTGTTCTCTTCTAATATCTGTGCTTTCGTCCTCCGCAGGTTCTTTTGTCGATTTGCTCCATGTTGACGGATCCGAACCCAGATGATCCTCTGGTTCCTGAAATTGCGCACATGTATAAGACAGACAGGCAAAAGTATGAAGCAACTGCACGTACCTGGACAGCCAAGTATGCCATGGGCTAGCCTTACGCAAAACGAGGGGGTCTTCCCTCTCTTTTGTACATCCAAGGCCCCTAGTTCCTGCATCAGTCATCCTACCAGCAGAAGTCTTTTCTCATGTGATCGCTCTCCCGTTGGACCATTGACAATCAAGCAGAATGGCCTGACATCGATTCACCATCCCATTCCCATGAGGCTGTAATTCGAAACATGGTGTACCGTATGAGATGTGATATGACTATGGATGTAGACGAGCTAGTTTAGATGGTATCATTTTTAAGGCAGCCATGGAGAGCTTGTTGATTCAAACTTTTCGCAATGGAGGAATGCATGCAGGGCTTGGGTCGTTTGGGTGTCTAAATCTCTCTCTAGTCATCTGAATTACAGTGATGCCATCAGAACGTAATGCTGAGAGAGCAGTTTCACGTTTGGTGTTGGCTTTTCGCTGTCAGAAGGGCTTTGGTAACTACCTGTAGCTGGGAATGATGAATAAATGACACCTATTCATTGGTTATGCTTCTAATAAATGAGTAGGCAAGTTTAATAAAGAGGTGGGATTGTATTATGCTGAAGTAGCTAATGCAAGCCAAGGGCAGTCTCCTTTATCAAAAAGACAATTTGATATGGTTAAATTGGTTCTTTAACATTCTCACCCTCTGCCAACAAAGGGTATGTTTTGTTCAAACGTGACACGTCATAGCCGCGATGTGGATGGTCACCATGAATTGTCCACCCCATGCCCCACGCTGGGCTCCCCCAATCAAGGACCTGTACATCACCGAGGCGCGCCAATAACCTCGGAATCTCCCTGCCCTTTGACTGGAAGACATGAGATCGCTTCGCGAACAAAACCGTCGCAAATCAGCTGTCTTCAGCAAATCTCGTGCATTCCTTCCATCTTGTCACCTGTCGCGAATCTCGCAGCACCAAAATCTTACTTCGCAACGGCTCTGCGCCAAGGTATTATGGTCGCGGAGAATCTTTCGTTGGGCTTGACTATGCAACGCATCCTCACGCTCCATTTGGCTGCGAGCTTCTTGGGTCCGAGCTACAAGATGCTGGCTGTTGTGTTTTCTTCCTGTGCGTGACACGGGCATTCAAGATCTAAGGAATTCCATTCTGTTCGCGGACTCTCGAATTCTTTTGCGCCTGGTTTCGTCTCTAGGCATATGGCTGCCGCAAAGTGTGCCACGGGCACCTGCCTTGTGAGAGCAAGCAACCACAACAAGCAGTTTGCTAGCGCTTGTCAACAAAGAATTGCTGCTTCACCAGGTGGGGCAAATATTTCATGGAGCATTGCCGTTTCTCAACCGCTGTCAGTCCAGCAGAAGAGTGGCACCAGCAAATCTGAGGCTTTGAGAAGATCGGTGACCCCCCGAGCGATTTCCGATTCAGAAGCGTTCACTGATGTTTGCCTTGATCCAGAGCCCAACAAGGTGCGCCCTTGGATTAAACTGTCGATTCGTGTCGTTTATTCTCGTAAATGGCTTTTGTGAATTGTGTGTTTGTTTTTTTTGTCTCATGCAAACTGGTGCTTTGTTTCCGTCACGCAGAGTGTGCTCTCCGTGATTCTGGGTGGGGGAGCCAGCGCAAAGCTTTACCCGTTGACGAAGGAGCGAGCAACTCCTGCTGTGCCGTTGGCCGCGAATTACAGGCTGATCGACATCCCCGTTAGCAACTGCTTGAATAGTGACATAGATCGGATTTACGTTCTCACTCAGGTAACTTCGGCTGCTGCTTTTCTTTACCCCACAGCGGCAGACAGATTCGAACTGGGCGAAAGGTTTTTGCTTGGTGTTGATCACGTGCTTTCGATCATGACATTCGTTCGTTGCAACATCAACTTGATTCTTTTCTCTCAATGTTAGCATCCTTCATGCTTTTCTCTCAACGTTAGCTCCTTGTCTTGTTTCGCAGGTCAATTCCGCCTCGCTCAACCGTCACTGCTTCACAGCATATGCGCCGTGCCTGAGTGGTTACCAGACCAAGGGTTTCGTGGAAGTGCTCGCAGCGGAGCAGAGCCCGGATAATCCAAACTGGTTCCAGGTAAGGACCTGTGGATTTCGACTGGCACTTGAGTGTCAAGAAAATGAGCAATAGTCATAGTCTATTTTATGCGAAATATAAATATATACTATATGCTGTAACGAATTCCTGAGCAGGAACACATCATGTTCGCATTTTTATGAAATTCTCCCGATCCTGAGTGGTGTGTTCACTCTATGACAGGGAAGGCGGATGCGGTGCGTCAGTACAAATGGCTGCTGGAGGACCATAACCCGCAGGAGTAGCTGATCCTCGCGGCTGACCAGCTGTTCCATCAAGAGCAGGACAGAAGGCTTTGTGATGATATATTCTCCCAATTCGGTGTATCATGTGTGCATTCATTAACAGGGAACGGCGGATGCGGTGCGTCAGTACATATGGCTGCTGGAGGACCATAACCCGCAGGAGTATCTGATCCTCGCGGCCGACCAGCTGTACCGCTGCGATTACCGCAGAATAATCAAGTGCCACCGGAGTGCTGGTGCTGACATCACCGTCGCCGCGATCCCTGTTGACAGGTAGAGGAATTTTTGAGATTTGATTTTGCTAGGGAATCAAATTTCAGGGATTTGATTTTGCAAGACAGTTTTCTTCTGCAAGTGCTTGCCTTTCGGGAGAGAGATGGTTATGTGACGCTTCTTGTTGGCTGGACTTTTGAGGCGCCGCAAAACTGGTTATCTGACGCTTTTGAGGCGCTTCACAAATGGCTATCTGACGCTTCTTGTTGGCTGGACTTGTTCAGAGAGCGTGCGACGTCGTTTGGGATCATGAAGGTTGATGAGGATGGGCGTGTGACTGAGTTTGCGGAGAAGCCTCAAGGAGCAGAGCTCGACAAGATGAAGGTACGAACAGTGGTCACCAACTGAAAGAACAATCTGGGACCTACCCATTTTATCAATCAGCGCAAAAAAAAATTGTCTTAGTACCGCCTTTCATGCAAGCGCGATTGGCCTGTTTTTCTCACAAGAAGCTGACGTTGTCACAAGCGTGGTTGGTAATGATTTTGTTCACATTGTCAGGTGGGCGCAACGAACGTGGGTCTCGATGCTCTTTGAGGCGTCTCAGATGCTTTTTGAAACGAAATCACAAATTCACAAATTCTTTGTTTGCATTGTCAGGTGGACACTACGAGCGTGGGTCTGGATCCCCAGGAGGCAGCGAAGCGACCCTTCATCGCGTCCATGGGGATCTACGTGATCAGCAGGGACGCCTTGCCTCGCCTGCTGCTGGAGCAGTTTCCAGACGCCAACGACTTCGGCCGGGAGGTCATCCCTGCTGCGTGTGCCAACGGATCCAAGGTGAGCTAGTTAAAAGAGATTCCAAGTCGTGATCAGCAAATAAGATTTGCCTCGCCTGCTTCTAGAGCAGTTCCCAGACGACAATGATTTCGGCTGGGGGGTCATCCCTGCTTCCTGTGCTAATGGATACAAGGTGAGCCAAGATTGAGTCAGGCTTAAGATCATGATCAGCAGGGAGGCTCTGCCTCGCCTGCTGCTCGAGCAGTTTCCAGACGCCAACGACTTCGGTCAGCAGGTCATTCCTGCTGCCTGTGCTAACGGGTCAAAGGTGAGCCGACTGCAGCAACACACTAATCAAATATGATCAGCAAGGATCATATGCTGCATTCTAGTGGTTTTTGTAAAGTCTTCCACCTTCCTTCCCCCTCCTGAATCTTTCCCTGTCTTCCTCCCTCCCCATCCCACTAACCCATCCCCCTTCCCCCATTGTCCCTGGGTGTCAAATGAAATCAGGTGCAAGCGTACATCTACGATGGGTACTGGGAGGACATTGGCTCCATCGATGCCTTTTACCATGCCAATCTCAGGCTCACCAAGCCCAACCCCCCCTTCACGTGAGTCATTTCACGTCTTAATTTTATTAGTGTAATTCGAGTGTATCAGGTGCAAGTATACATATTATGGGTACTGGGAGGACATAAGGTCCATCGATGCCTTCTACCATGCCAACCTCAGACTCACCAAGCCTAAACCCCGCTTCACATGAGTCAAGTTCCATAATAATTCATTATTCACAACTAGTTGTAGACTCACCAATTCAAACTCTTACTTCACGTTAGTTGAATTGTGCTGAAATTCTTCAGTCAGGCTCGAACATGGACTAATTAGGCCAATACCTTTCTTTTTGTTTAAGAGATGGCCATCGCGACCAAGTTGTTAGTCCCCCCTTTCTCGCCCGTGAAGTCTTGTCTATGAAGCTCGCACGTTGATCATTCTCCGTTGATCATTCTCCTTGCACTAAGTCAGTCTCCTTGTCATTAACCCTCATGTCTGCGTGCTGTGCAGGTTTTATGATCGTTCGGCTCCCATATTCACTCAGTCACGCTCTCTGCCTCCTTCCAAGCTCAACGACGTGGACATTTCTGGCAGTGTTATCGGGGAGGGTTGCATCTTGCAGGTATGCACTTGCCGCATGTCATTCAAACCTCTTCTTGCTTAGTTACAATCACATGAGAACAGATATGAATCTGTTTAGCCTGTCTGCAGCCACGATCCTATGCATAACTGTGGCCTGGAAACTGGGCTCCTAAAACAATGGGATTTCTTACCGCAGTTACACTCTCACTGTCTAATCTTCACCACTGTCACTGTCACTGATTTTTGTCCCTCAGGAGTGTGCCATTCACGACTCAATGGTGGGGCTACGGTCTATAGTTGGCGCAGGGTCATCCATACACGACAGCCTGCTGCTAGGAGCTGACTATTATGAGGTAGTGTACTTAGTGATCAGCTCTTTTTGTTTGTTTGTTTGTTTGCTTCTTTTGATGGATTTTGCAACCTAACCCCCTGGGCCTGGATTTGCAGGATGAGGATGAGCTGCGAAGGGTAATTGCATCTGGACAGTTGCCCATAGGTGTCGGCCGGAATTCGGTCATCAAGGGAGCCATCCTTGACAAGAACGCACGAATCGGAGATAACGTGCATGTGAGTAACATGCTGTGCTATATACACCCTGCAGACCAACAGAGAAAATACAGCTGTTAATTCTAAACCATGTCTCATGTGTGCTTCTCTTGCAGATCATCAACAAAGACGGAGTTCAGGAGTCCATACAGGAGGATGCCGGCTTTGTCATCAACAAGGGAATTGTTACCGTGTTGAGGAACGCAACGATTCCATCTGGAACGGTCATATAGTTTAGGTTCCTTTTGCATTGCAATGATTAGAGGATTAATAAGTACGATTAAGTAGTCAGATTTGTTTTGCTGTATTGCTAATGGGTGTATATGAAGATCATTGTGTACCACACTGTAAGGAGGAAATTTGAACCATGCCTGAAATACGTGGCGCACGAATGAAATACGAGGCGAACTGTTTATGGTTGGTCGCCTACCTAACGGACCTCGTGGCTTGCCAGATGCGCGCGCATCATTGGGCGTTGTGCATCACATGCTTACAAGCAGTTGCGCGGCAATGACTCGGATTGGCAGGTCACTTGTAAGCTGTGCTTCTCTGTTTGTAGACATCCAGTAAACGTCCAGCCCTAGGGCGACGTCAAGTGCTACGTTTTTGCAAACATCTGTTTCTGTTTGCGCTTGTGCCTCCTCTAGTCGCTCACGCTCACAGCATCACAGGCTTGCTGCTGCAGAAGAAATGCAACAAAAACTTAAAGCAAATCCGTGATGATATTTGCTCAACAGAGGTTCTCTTTAGGAACCGATGCAGCGTCGTCGAGTCTAGCAAGCGTAGCCATGCTTGTACGTTTCCTGTCAACTTGGTTCGCATTTAGCAGGCTTTACGCAAAGGTATGGTCTTGAACAATGCGTAAGGCGAATATTCTTGAACAATTTGTGAGGCGAATATGTCGTAGTTTAACCACAGCAGAATATTTCCTTTAACTGAATTAGTGGTCTCAGTAGACCCCTCGTGGCGACGCGAGTAGAAAAGCGGCGTTGGATCGCCTGGTTCACGGGTGATGGACGGTTCAGGTGCACTTTATCCCTGGCCCATCCTCACCACAGAACAGTTTGCTGCTTTCAAAGTTTTGCCTGTGGCGGCAATCCCGAGGGTCCGTGCGCAGCTGCGTTTCTCTGTAGCGACAATTCCGAGGGTCTGATCGCCAAGTTCGTTCAGCGCAACAGCATTAGGCGCCCATAATCCCTTCAATGGAGGCAATCGGAAGACATAACCATCAGGCGAGTTTCAGGATTCCGTGTTATTAGTACTTATTCTTGCAGCCGAGATTACCCCTTCGTTGTTCGCACCCCTGATATGGCAGTGACACGCACGAATGACTCTGTAAGTCTTTCCCACCCTTACCCTTCCCGTCCTTTTCCCGTTGACAAATTGTTTCGCGTGCTGTCCTTTCAATCAGGGCTCTCAGGGTTCGCGGCTCGCAGCCGCGTCGGCACGAGAGGAGGAGTGGGATCTGTGCGACGATTACAGGGAAGATCTAGGCGACGACCGCGGAGGTGATCGCACAGATAGCCGCAGTGATGGTCGCAGGGCCGACCGCAGAGGTGATATAAGCGACGATCGCAGTGGTGGCGACCAACATGCGGACGTGTGCGAAACCCTACGCGACGATTGGACTGCCGTGTGTGAACAGCCCATTCATCCGCCGTGTGACCAGCGTCTCGATCGTTCCATAGGCGAACCGTTGGATAAATCGGGGAGATCACCACCGTTGATCGGAGAGAAATTCGTGCGAGTAGGCTCGGCTGCTGATACGTGCCAAGAGTCGGTGCGGATAGGCCCCGCTCCGTCGGCGTCCGAGGTGGCTCACGCGGCGAGGCAACTGCACGCCAGCATTCAGTCGCTTCCCAGGTGCGATGAGCTGTAAGAACGGAACGAAGCAGCTATTTGAGGCTTTTTAAGAAAGCAAATTACTATTACTCTCTGCTGAGGTGAGAATACAAGAAAGGAAGGGAACCAAGTATGCTTCTCGTAATACCAGGGAATCACTCATCTTACGACATCGTTCAGCATTTCCAGGTGATATAAATTTAGGGATGAAAGAAGTAGATTATAAGTTGAATAGGCGATGTATGCCTGCTAGGTTAGGTACAGGTGGGATGTGGTTCACGAACAGCAATGCAGCTTCCCCTAAACAATGCGCTGTTTCAGTCTCAGTAGTTTCTGAGTCAGCTTCAAGAAAGTTTGCTTGGCCTGCACAATGTCCTGTTTGGAACGCACAAGTGGTAAAAGGCCAGGGTGGTGGGAAAGGGAGAAAGTTTGTGAGTCGATTCAAATGAGGTAGCTTGCCCTGCACGACGTGCTGTCTGTCTGGGATGCGGCTGTGCTAAAGGGCCAGGGGGTGTGGGGAGGGTTCAGGAGTGAGGGACTGAGAAGGGCTCAGAGAGAGGTGGGGAAGTGAGAAGTGGTGGAAGGGAAGGGGGATGAACAAGGTATGGCCACGGAATTGGGTGATGCACGATTTGGGTGATGCACGATTTGGGTGATGCACGATTTGGGTGATGTCTCTGACATGGAATCGTCACCGTACTGCTGGCTTCGTCAGGTTGTTGACTCCCTTGCCGAGCCCCGTATCAACAACACCTTGCCGCTGCAGGGTATTTTTGAGAAATTTCAAAAATACTCTGACTGGAATCATCACCGTACTGCTGGCTTCGTCAGGTTGTTGACTCCCTTGCCGAGCCCCGTCTCAACACCGTTCCCTCCCCACTCCAACCCCGCTTGCAGCCACTCTGTGTCAGCCAATCAGCTGGTGACAGATGTCCGCAGGCGAGCCGTGCAGGAGGGCGGCCGGGACAGGCGAGTGCTGGTGGTGTCACACGCCTTGGAGCTCTTCTCTCGGGATTCAGAGTTACAGGTAGGAGATTGTTATTTCCAAGCACCGTGAGAAGTCGTTTCCTTCCCTCCCTTTAATCCTCCCTTTAATCCTCCCTTTAATGGGGTTGTTTGTCGTTTCTAAACCCTTCCTGTTGTCCCTGTCTTGAGTTGCTTCCGTGTCCTCCTCATTTTTTAGGATTGCTCGAAAGAGACACAAGTTTTTGTGTCCTCCTCAGAGTTTTGTGATTCCACCTTCCTTCTCTCTCCCCTGCAGAGTGCAGTGACGTCAGTAGCACGCGACCCAGCAGTGTGGGCGGCCATAGGCAGCAACCCCGACGTGCAGAAGCTGATTGGTCGTAGAAGACAAAGCAGAGCGCCTGTGGATACTCTTACCACTGCTGCTACGGATTTTCCTGCTGCTGACGCTGCTGCATGTTCCTGTCCTGCTGTCCTGTTTTTGTGTCTTCCTTCTCTCCCTCCTTTCAGAGTGCAGTGACGTCAGTAGCACGCGACCCAGCAGTGTGGGCGGCCATAGGCAGCAACCCCGACGTGCAGAAGCTGATTGGCCGTATGAGACGGAACAGAGCGTCTGCGCCTTCCCTTACCTCTTCTGCTGCTCCTCCTGCTGCTGCTGCTGGTGATGGTACTGAAACGGTTGCTGCTCCTGCTGCTGATGATACTGCTGCAGTTTCTGCCACAGCTGATAATGGTGGGGCCGGAGTGTTGCGCAGTGGTTGTGAGGAAGAAGAGCGGGAAACAGGCACAATGGCTGGGAGGAGCAGAGGGACCAGGAGGACTGAAGATTCGCCAAGGAGGCTGTTAGGGAGTCGGGAGGCTGCCCTGATTCCCTGTAGTACAGGTACGTGGACTCTTCCTTTTGTCAGAATGGTACGTTGATTCCTGTCTTGTGGTGAAGGTAGTCAATGCATGGACTGCAATCATGGCACGTCGACAGGGCAAGTGTTCTGCTACAGATCCCTGGTCGAGAGACTCGCGTGTAATGAGTCGAGATTTGAGTCGACTCAAAACTGCGATCATGGCACGTCGACAGGGCACGTGTTGTTACAGATCCCTCCCTGGTCGAGAGACGGTACATGTCTGCTTTTCTCTTGTTGACTCCCATTAATGGGCATTCTTGAGAGTCTTGAAAACTGGTTTCAAAACTGATTATTGCACAGGGGCCCTTGTTTGGTGTTAAGATAGTGTCTCATTGAGACAAGTACACGTGTGCATTGCTCTGTTTTTTTTTCTTTTTCTTCCTATTTGAGAAAGAGAGCATGTGCAAGGGGTTGGCATGCTTTCTTGCTTTACGCTTCCTTATTCTGCCTTGGGATTCGACCTCTCCTCTGCCCATTCATTCGCTATGTGCCTGTTGTCCATGTGCGTTGTTGCTTTGGAAGAGCAGTGGCCGAATTAGCAGCAGCAGGAGCAGTGGAAACTGCAGCAGAAACAGCAGCAGTAGCAAGGGAAGAAACTGCAACAGCAGTAATGGCTGCTGCAGCAAAAGCAGCAGAAGCGGGAGCAACAGTAGGCGCAGCGGCAGAAGCCATAGCAACAAGCAGCGATGTGCCAGTAGCAGCAGAGGCTACCAAGCGAGGACTTGCCAACAGGGCAACAGGCAGAAGCTCAGCATCAACAGCACCGCCACGACCAGCATTGTCACTACCGCAAGCCACTCAAATCTCCAGCTCCTCTCGACCCCTCGTACCAGCTCCTGCACCATCACCGCCCGCCTCCCCGCCGTCGCCATCAGTGGTATCAGTGGTGTCTCACCTGCTGGACCAGCTCTCATCCTTGCCGGGTTCTGCCTGGGGCTCGCTGCTGCAACTTCTGGGTGCGGATCACCATGACTCGCTGGAGCGGATGAGTGAGAGTAGCGAGGAGGGGGGTGATGGGGAGGAGGAGGAGGGAGAGGAGGAAGAAGGGGAAGGGAACAGGTATCAGCAGCAGTTGTGCGGTAGTTTGCATTTTACCAACCGTGCTGCTCATGTTGCTGCTGTTCAGTACGGTGATAGGGATAAAGAGGAGGAGGAGGATGAAGAAGAGGCGGAGGAAGGGTGGGGTGGTGAGAGAGGTTTGGAAGGGGAGTTAATGGAAGAAGGGGAGCATGGGGGACCGGCTGTGGTGCCAGCGCTGGCAGTTCTTGTGATTCTCCTTCTCGGCATCGTCGTGTTCAACAGGCCGCTCTCCTGATGCTGCCCTTTCCCTGCCCGGCGTGAACATTGAACATAGCAGCGGCTAGCTGTGGTTTGTACATGAATGCACATGCCTCTGAACCTCTGAATACACCTGCAATAGCTGTATATAGGTAGCCGCTGTATGGCCGGCTTGCATCACCTGGAGCGGGCAACAGCAGCAGCAGCGCTCCACCGTCCACGTGTCAAGGACTCCTAGGAACAGCTGGCCTTTCCACGCTCACATACGCATGGGTTACTGTACATAGCATGACAGCAGATTTTTAGTTGCGCGTAGAAGGCAGAAAAGGCAAGAGTAGGGGCTCAACATGGGAAGCAGGACTGTTGGCAGTATGTTTGAGCTAGCTAAGCTCCGCTGATTATGAAGGTGCGTGAATTGCAATTGCGGAATTCTGGAGACTATTAGTTCATGATGGGCTTGTACTATCAGAACTTCTAGCGATCTCTTATACTAGCGGGTTCATGATGTGCAAATGCCACCTATTGGATTACCCGTATCGCGTTTCCCATAGCGGGAATGCGATTTTGACAATCTCGAGAAAATCAAGTCCCCTTACGCGTCACAAGTAAAATATCGAGGAAGGATCAGGGTTGTTCACCGAACCTGTCAAACCGATCGCCATATCGGTGTGTCACGACTGCTTTGAAGTTTCAAGTGACACGATCGTAAAAACATGGGGCAAAATTGCCCGATGTGGACGAAATTGCACGATCGATGTGTGACAGGGGCACATCGATCGCCTGACTTAGAAGGGAAAACTGTACGTTAGCGAAAATAAACGAAAATGTGTAACCACCTAAACACCGATTCTAGGCAGGATCGATGTTCTACTTGTGATGCGTCCTTAGGGCGGGGCCAGCGTGTTCATTTTACACAAACGTACAGTTCATTCAGAGCGGTTACTCTCGCTACGTCACGGTCTAAAACGGTTGATAAAAAACCGCTGTAAACCGATTGGAATCTTTCTGCACCACTATAGATGAACTGTACGTTCGTGAAAAACGAACGTGCTGACCCCGCCACGATTGGGTTTGGGCATCCCAAACCAAGTCAAATTTCCACCAAAACCGAATCCCCATATCATGCCAAGCCTCCAAGTACGGTAGGGCACACCTAGAAAATAGTTCTCCGCTCCGCCTGTTGGTCATCTTTGCCTTCAATAGCGACTTCCCATGAAAAGCGTGTCATGAAGTGTCCTTGCTGGTGCCGTACCCTCGGTACCCGAGCTGCGCGCGATAGTCTCCACGTGGCGTAGATGCAAGGCCATCTTTGAAAATCACTCGCTAGTCTCCGCGAACCTCGTCGTTTTCACACGATGCCGCCGCCGATACCTGTCATGCGAGATTTGGGGCGTCTTGGAAAACTATGTCAGGCCAATGGTACCGGCACAGATGTCGTACCGTACCGCCACCACCACCATCGCCGTCGCGACCCCGTTGTCCAAGGTCGCGCGGAGCAATTCTTTACCTCGTTGACGGTTAATGGCACTTTCCAAAACAGCCTCGAGTTGGTTTAATTCAATCATGAGTTGTTATCACTCACTAGCACCGCACCATCACCGCCAACACCGCCAACACCGCCATCACTGCCACCACTGCCACCACCGCCAACACCACCTCATTCCATGACCACTGATGCGCAGCGCCGGTTGCGGTTTGTCGCCGCATGTGCACCGCATCGCTGCCATGGCCGGCGCATGTGCCGTGGCAGCGACGCGACTGCCATGGCTGCCTCGCCAACCCGCAGAGCAAAACCTGGTCATCACGACTCAAGACAGAGGCACGTCCCGGGTTTCTTCCGTATGAGACAGCTACCGTGCGGTATTCCGTGTCACACGGAAGAGCTTCCGGTTTCGAAAGAGCTCTCGAGTCCATACGGCATTCGCTCTCTCCCCGGTTCGCTTGCATTGGAGAGAGCCCTTTGAAGCGTCTCAGATCTTGAGGGGGGTCGTTGCGTTTGTGTAGTTGCTGCGCATGTAAGAATGTGTGGTTATGCATTTGCGGATTCTCAGTAGCGACTACTTGGGCCAAGTAGTCAGGGTAGCCTTCTCTCAAAAACTCAGCAGAGTCTTGGAATTGGATCCAAATTCGAATTTGAATTTTGATTTCGTGATGCCGTTTCCGTCGACAAGTGACGACCCCAACCATGCCGTTCCGGTTGCCGCCTCGTCAAGCACGGCTCCCAACTACGACTCCCATGGCGCCAACAATAGCGCACCAGGTGTTGAGGACGGCGATTCCAAAGACTCTTGCACGATGAAAGCTCCGGACACTGCTGCTCGCCCTCTCATGCTTCCTTCCCGAGCCCCTGGATCCTCTCCCGCCTCGCCTCCTGCCTCACCTCCCACCTCGCTTCCCGCCTCTCCTCCCACCTCGCCTTGTGCCTCTTCCTCCGCCTCCTCGCCGCCCTTCTCCCTCCCTGCTTTTAGGGATCGCCTTAGGTCTTTCTTTCTCTCTCCTTCGACCAGTGACCGCCTGCCTGTCACTCGAGACGAACCTCATCCCTCCCATCCCTTTCAGCCCTCACATCTCTCACATCCCTCCCATCCCTCTCATTCCTCCCATCACGCTCTGTCCCGCCTACGAATAACCCCCACCCTCTTCAGCAACACTCTCCTGCTCCTCCTCTCCTTGCTCATCCTCCTCCCCCTCCTCGCCATCCCCCTCCTTGCACCCCCCTCCCCGCTCCCCCAACCTGCTGCTGCTGCACAGCCGGGGGTGGGGGGGAAGGGGGGATATGAGGAGGGTGGTGGGGGGAGCGATTTGGGAAACGGTGATGCCAGTGGTGGAGGATGGAGGGATGTCAGTGGGACGGGTGGAGACGAAGGGGTGATGATGGCAGCAGCAGATGACTCGGTGTTTTCAGATCGTTATTCGTGTTCCGAAATAAGGTACGCTGACACATCATCCGCGCCTCTCCTCTCCCCCTCCTTTCCTCTCCCCCTCCTTTCCTCTCCCTCTCCCTTTCTCCCCCGGATCCTTCCTCCCCCCCCCCCTTCCCCCCACCCCTCCTCCCCTTCTTCTTCCCGTCTCTTTGTTCTCCTACTTCCTCCGTTTTTCACACACTGCATCGATTTGTTTCTTTCTTGTAGTTTTTTCTTTCTCTCCCTCCGCTTTTTGTGCTCAAAACATTTCGACTGGGTTGACTCAAAACGTGGCAGGAGCCTGGAGGAGGTTCTTACCGACCTGGCCACGTCAGCTAGAATGCCTCCTCTAGTGACACGCAAGCAACCAGCATCTGACGTGGCACCACAGGGTTTGCACGCAGAAGAAGCCTCTGCTGACGCAAACGGTGTCAGCACAAACAGCAACACAGCAGGCAGCAGTACAGGCAGCAGCAACGCAGGAACTAATGGAAGGGCGGATGAAAGGGACGAGACAGAGGAGGCGCGAGTGGTAGCAGAGGAAGGGGAGTCGGGGCGTGGCGTGGTGATCGTGACGGTTTTATCAGAGGCGTGGATTCCAATGTTGAAGATGTTCTTAACGAGGATGAGACTGGTCGATGAGAGAGAAGAGCAGGAGATGAATACGCAGCAGAAGCAGCAGCAGGAGCAACAGCAGGAGCAGCAGCAAAAGCAGGGGGAGGCAGCTAAATCCGATATGCCAGATTCAGATTCAGATATGCCAGGCACAGGGCACATGCCCCAAATGCCACGCCCGCTGGTGCCTCGCCTGCTGGTGATTTGCTACGACCATCACAGCCTGGAGTTCTGCTGCTCGCTGCGCCTGCACTGCTTCCTCGACACACAGGTGCGTGTGGCTGGAGGCCAATCCTACCAGCAGCAGTGAATGCGTCAAGCCGTGACGGTCAAGGGAAGGAAGGAGGGAGCAACAGCAGTATCTCAGAATGATCTCATTACCTCTCACTTCACAAGGGGTCAGTATGAAAAGCCTTCCTTTTTCAACCCATCCCACCGCCGCCCCCACCTCTCCTCCCTGCACCTGCCATGGTTAATCATCCCTGGTCCCTCTCTTTTTCTTGTGGGCAGGAGGATGCTCCGAAGAGTGAGAGGGACGACTTCAGCGGTGGGCAGAAGAAATTCATGACCCCCTCCTATCTGCACCTGGTACTGTTCCTTTCCTGGGCGGCAGCATGATAAGAGATACACACTGCCGTACTCCATGCTTTTCCCTGAAACTGCCCTCTTGGATCTGCATTTCTTCTCTGCCCACCACCCCGCTGTTTTCTTCGTCTCTGCTCATCTCCCTCCATCTCTCCTCGTCTCGTCTTCGTTCTCATCCACCCCACTCTGCCAGATGTGGAGACGTTTGCATGCCATCTCCCCTCATCCCTTGTCAGCTCTTCTCATCTCTCCTCACCTTTCCTCATCTCTTCATTCGTTTTCAACCTCCCCACTCTGTCCAGATGTGGAGGCGAATGCACGTCATCAGGCGAATCTTGTCTCTAAGATTTGATGTGATCTTCACAGACAATGACGTCATGTGGCTGCAGGTGTGTGTGCACGTGGCAGCGAGCGGCAGTGCCTTGCGCATAAAGATTCCTATTTAGATCTCTCTCGACATTTCATAAAGGAAAAGAAAAGAAAAGAAAGAATTGCTCACGGTAGATCGTAGCGGCCTGTGACAACATAATCTTCTGATCCCATCCTCCCTGCTTCCCTCACTCACCCTCTTCCGTCCATCAAAACCCTTTCCCCCATCGGCTCCCCATCCCATCTCATGTGCTGATGGCCTGCAATCACTGGTCATCAGACGCCAAGGCAGCGACACTCTATCATAATCAGCCCTCTTTATTCATATCTCTTCCTGCTTCCTCCTCTCCATATCGCCCTTCCACCAGAACCCTCTTCCTCACCTGCTCCCCGTCTCATCCGACTTGCTCATAGCGTGCGATCGCTGGTCAGCAGACCCCAAGGCAGCAGCAGCCAATGGGGGTTTCTATATGGCTCGCAGCAACGACCGTGTGTTGCGGTTCTTTGACTACTGGATCAGTGCACACACCCGGTAAACCTTCCTCCGCCTTCCCTGGGATTCATGGCCCAGGATGCATTCATGCGGGTGCGGCCTGAAAAAGTGAATCTTTGCGACATTCTACAAAAAAAAAAAAAAAAATCACCCCTTTCTTCCTACCATCAGAATTCATGTTTATTGAGAATCCTCCATTCCTCACCCCTCTCCCCCCACCATCAGCTTCCCCGGGATTCACGACCAGGATGCATTTATGCGAGTGCGACCTGAAGCAGACCCGTACACCCGGGATACTCTCCGTCTTGCTGTCCACTACCTGCCGACGGACCGCTTTGGCGGTTTCTGCCAGATCGGGCGGCAGCTGGGGTGGCTGGTCACTGTTCATGCCAACTGCTGTATTGGACTGGAGGAAAAGATGCGAGCGCTGCAGCGGGTGGGTTAACGTTGTATTTTTGGTAGAACAGATATAAGGTACCATACCTGAGTAATGTGAAGAGGTAACAGGTACAGAGGTTGCAGCAGGTAGGTAAGCACTAAGCCCCTCTTTCTCCCGATCTAACTTCATTCCTGCAATAAATTCCCACCACTCTGTTTCTCATTTTCCCCTCTCCCCTGCTCATGTGAACTTACTGGTATGGGGGATAAAGGGTGGTTATCTACACTGCACCTAGGGTTTGGTTGACTATCAAATAACAGAAAACTTTCTCTGGTCGGTGCAATGACATGGCAGGTCTTGGGTGACGTGGATTGGTTTTGGCAGCTACCATTGGTGGACAGGGTGGAAGTGGGGCGGCATGGCTTGGTGTGGAGCGGGAGGAACTGTACCATCTGAAAAGAAATGTTAGTTTCTGAGGAAGTGTACGGTAATAGCCCGAGAGTTTGGCAGGAGTGCAGCGTTACACTAGTACTGTGCTTGTTGTGGAATGTGTGATGTAAGGGTACGGTGTGTGTACTGTGCGTGCATAATCAGTCAATGTTAGAAATAGAAGAGGAACCTAGGCTTAGGTGAAACCCTAGCCTAGGTGAGAGTTGAGAGTAACGAGATGTAAGTTGGGCAAAGGAGAGGAAGTTCACTATTGAGCAAGGTACAAATAGGAAACACAGCATGCAAAGAAGGTGTACCACCAACAGTTCATTATAATAACTACAGTAACTATCGTAAGCAGGATATAATATAACTTGACAGTCAATGCCAGAAGCATATCTCATTAGTAGGTTGTAGAGACTTCAAAAAGACTGTTCCTGGATGTGGGCTGAGAAAAGCAACTGTAGGTAAGTCAGCGAGGCTTGAGAGTTCCTGCCAGGGCTCTAGAAGGACGTAGATATCTGGATGGTTTTAGCTAGGGGGTTTTCTATAGCGGGTACGCAACAAGAATCAAGTTTATACCCATCCCAGGGATCCCAACAACGCGTACACCCGTGTAAACCTCGACATTTCACTCTAGGTAATTCAAAAGTTGCAGCCAAAGGCTGGGAAAACCGATTTTCTTCCGGAAAGCTGGGAGAAATTGATTTTCTACGATAAGGACGCGGCACCTGTTTTCAAATTGCCACGATCGGAGGAGGATCGGGGCCTCACATCGATCCTGCCACGATCGACCGGCACACCGGTGTGCACAACTGCCTTTTTTCGATCGCCTGGACACACCGAGCCTCAGGTGCCACGATCGCAAATTTCTGGGGCAAAATTGCCCCGATCTCCACAATTACACCATCGATGTGAGGGCGCAGGCACATCGATCTTGCGAGCCACAGGTGACACCTTTTTGCAGACATATTTACTGTACGTAAACGAAAATATGCGACAAAGGATACCAGACCTTTGGCGACGTCGTCAAATTACTGTACAGCCGACATATCGATCCCCGCGAGGATCGATCGTGGCAAATGAAAACAGGTGCCGCGTCCTAACCCCCAACAACAGTCCTGGTTGTTTTGGTGGAGAAGTAATCCCAGTGGACGAGCAGCTGCAATCCATAGTGACTTCCCGTGGAGAGCTCAATGGCGTGGAGCCTGCCCTCTCGTGCCAGTTTCCTCCGCATCCCGAGCCCGCAGCGCGTTGCCACGTGGCGAAGATACAAGATAACCTCGTTTGTTTCTGAACCTCGTCGCGCTCCCACGACGCCGTCGATCATTGATCCCTGGCAGGCGATTCCTCCCTGAGACGTCTCGAAACGTTTCGAGAGTACTCTGTCAGGCGCAGGACAGATGTCCCACAGATGCCAGGCGCAGCGGTACCAGCCTTGATCGGTCACGCTGCCGCCGTCTTTTGAGAATTCTTAACAATCACTTCCGCCGTCGCCCTTGCGATGACCGGCGGGACCTGTTTGCGTCATATTCGTCACGACTCGAGCCACGTCCCGGCTCCCGACCAATACCGTGTGTTATTCCGTGTTGAGGGAAGCTTCAAGTTCATATTGCTTTGCACTCGCTCTCTCTCCCAGATTTACTATACTTGCCAGCAGTGAGAGCCTCGTCGAAACGTTTTCACGGAGTGAGGGTCTTTTTAGACGTCTCAAAAGCTTCAAGTCCATATTGCACTCGCTCTCTCTCTCCCAGATTTACTACTAGCCAGCAGTGAGAATTGAAACGTTTTCAGGTTTACTACTTTTTGAAACGTTTTCACGGGTTGAGGGGGTCGTTGCGTTGCGTCTGTGAGAACTTCTGCGCAAGTAAGGGTCGGCGGCTAGGCTACGCAATCAAGGATGATTCCCATTGCCGACTACTGTACTTCAGGTGGCTACGCCTTTCGTTCAAGAAACCTGCAGCGAGTTGAAATCGCCGGGCATTCTTTTTGAATCTGAATTCGGATCTCGCGATCTCGCGATGCCGTTTCCACCGTCAATCGAGGAGTCAAATCACACCCCCAGCCATGGCGTTCCAGTTGCCGCCTCGTCAGACATGGCTCCTACTTCGACCCTCATAGCCCGCATGGCGACAACAGCAGCAGCGCAGCGCACTAGATGCCAACGATTGCAGTTCCGAAGACTCTAGCAGGTTGAAAGCTGCTCGTCTTTTGAGGCGCCTTAAAACCACTTCCGAAGACCATAGCAGAATGAAAGCTGCTCGTCAGCAGATGGACACTGCTGCTCGTTCCCTAATGCTTCCTTCCCCAGCCCCTGCATCCTCTCGTGCCTCTTCTCCTGCCTCTCCACCCGCCAAACCTCCCACCTCACCTCCCGCCCCGCCATCCGCCTGCTCTTCCTCCTCCTCCTCGCTCCCCTCCTCGCTCCCTTTTCTTCCTGCCCTTGGGGACCGCCTCAGGACTTGCTTTCTCGCTCCCTCCAACTACGCGCACCTGCCTGTCACTCTAAACAAATCTCATCCCTCTCATCCCTCCCATCCCTCTCATCCCTCTCATCCCTCCCATCCCTCTCATCCCTCCCATCCCTCTAATCCCTCTCATCCGTCCCATCCCTCCCATCCCTCTCATCACGCCCTGTTCAGACTAAGAATAACCCCAACTTCTTCCCTCAACAACACTCTCCTGCTCCTCCTCTCGCTGCTCATCATCCTCCCCCTCCTCGCCATCCCCCTCCTTGCGCCCCCCTCTCCTCTCCCCCCGACTTTTGAGGCGCCTCAAACTCCTTCTCCGCTCCCCCCGCCCACTGCTGCCGCACAGCTTGCTGCCGAGGGGCCTGGGGCGCAGGGGGTGGGGGAGAAGGGGGAATATGGGGAAGGTGGTTGGGGGAACGGGTTGAGGGACGGCGATGGCAGTGCTAGCGGTGGCGGGGGAGGGAGGGGTGGCAGTGAGGGAGGAGGGGACGAAGGGGTGGTGGCAACTGGAGACGGATCAGATTATTTGAAGCATTACTTGTGTTCTAAGTCAAGGTACTTGTGAGACATGATAACTCCTTCCCTCCCTCACACCCCCTACCCCTGTCCTCTTCCCTCTCTTACCGCTTCTCTTGCCTCCTGTGGTTGAATCGCTTGACTGGTTTGACTGAAAACGTGGCAAGAGTGTTGGTTTGACTTTTGAGAATTCTCAAATGCCTCCTGTGATTTAATCGCTTGACTGGTTTGACTGAAAACGTGGCAGGAGTCTAAAGGACGTTCTTACCGACCTGGCCACGTCAGCAGGAACGCCGCCTCCAATGACACGCAAGCAACTAGCATCTGACGTGGCACCACCGGTTCCACGCGCAGCAGAAGCTGCTGCTTATACAAACAGCAGCACTGCTGGCAGCAGCAGCACAAGCAGCGGCAGAATCAGCAGCAACGCGGGAAGTACTGAAAGGATGTTTGCTGTTCCAGTGGGAGACAAGACAGAGGAGGCAAGAGCCGTAGCAGAGGAAAGGGAGTCGGGGCGTGGCGTGGTGATAGTGACGGTTTTGTCACAGGCGTGGATTCCCATGATGAAGATGTTCTTAGCGAGGATGAGACTGGTCGATGACAGAGAGGAGCAGGAGAGTAATACAATGCAGCAGCAACTGCAGCACCAGCAGCAGCAGCAGCAGCAGCAGAAGCAGCAGCAGCAACAGCAGAAGCAGGAGGAGCAGCAGGAGTACTTGGGAGGTGCAACAGCTGAATCCACACCATCAGATTCAGATATGCCAGGCATGGGGCACAGGCTTGAAATGCCAGGCACGTTGGTGTCTTTTGAGACGTCTCAAAAGGCCCCCCGCACGCTGGTGTCTCGCCTGTTGGTGATCTGCTACGACCATCGAAGCCTGGAGTTCTGCTGCTCGCTGCGCCTGCACTGCTATCTTGACACACAGGTGTGTGCGGCTGGCTGCAGGCCGGCGGACCAGCAGTAGTGTAGGCGTATATGATGACTTTACCTCTTTTTGAGTCGACTCAATGAGTGACTTCACCTCTCACTTTGCAAGGTGTCAGTTCGAGGAATCCTTTTGTTTTCAACCCAACCCCCCTCTCCCCCCTCTCTCCCCCCTCCCCCCCCCGCCCCCCCCCATACCACTCCTATCTGCACCTGGTGTGGGTTCTTGTCCCTGTTGTCTTTTGAGTCGACTCAAAAGTCACCCCACACCACTCCTATCTGCACCTATGGTATGGGTTCTCGTCCCTGTTTCCCTCTTTTTTTTGCGGGCAGGAGGATGCTCCAAAGAGTGAGAGGGACGACTTCAGTGGAGAGCAGAAGAAATTTATGACCCCCTCCTATCTGCACCTGGTACTGTTGGTTTTTTGGTCGGAAAGTGTCTTTAGAAGATGCATATAGGCACCCTGATTGACTTTTGAGGCGCCTCAAAACTAGACGCCTCAAAAGTCGATACATATTGTCGCACCTGATGCCTTTTGCCTAATATTGCCCTCCTGATTTTTTGCCACATCTCTGCCCACTCCCCCCTGTTCCTGTGAATACTCTCGTTGTCTCTACTCATCTCCCCTCATCTCTACTCATCTCTACTCATCTCTCCTCATATCTCCTCATCACTACTCATCTTTACTCATCTCTCCGCATCTCTCCGCATCTCTCCGCAACTCTCCTCATCTCTCCGCATCTCTCCGCATCTCTCCGCAACTCTCCTCATCTCTTCGCATTGCGTCTTCGTTTTTATCCTCCCACTCTGTCCAGATGTGGAGGCGACTGCAAGTCATCAAGCAAATCTTGTCATTAAAATTCGATGTGATATTTACAGACAATGACGTCATGTGGTTACAGGTGGGTGGCAGTGACGTCATGTGGTTACAGGTGGGTGGCAGTGACGTCATGTGGTTACAGGTGGGTGGCAGTGACGTCATGTGGTTACAGGTGGGTGGCAGTGACGTCATGTGGTTACAGTTGGGTGGCAGTGACGTCATGTGGTTACAGTTGGGTGGCAGTGACGTCATGTGGCTACAGGTGGGTGGCAGTGACGTCATGTGGTTACCACCAGGACCCTCTCCCTCACCTGCTCCCCATCTCATCCAATCCAACTTGCTCATAGCGTGCGATCGCTGGTCGGCAGACTCTAAGACGGCAATACCCTATCTCAAGTTACCCTCTTTACCTGCCTCTCTTCCTGCTTCCCTCGCCTTTCTTCCGCCTCGCCCCTCCACCAGAACCCTCTTCCCCACCTGCTCCCCATCTCATCAGACTTGCTCATAGCGTGCGATCGCTGGTCGGCAGATCCCAAGGCGGCAGCAGGCAATGGGGGGTTTTACATGGCTCGCAGCAACGATCGTGTGCTTCAATTCTTCGACTACTGGATCAAATCCCACACCTGGTAAGTCGTTTGAGTGAAGCGAGTTGCAGCAGAGCAGCCAATGGAGGGTTCCACATGGGGCATGCAGCAACAACAGCGTGCTGTGATTTTTCAACTACTGGCTAAAACGCCCACACCTGGTAAGCCTCTCCTCCACCTTGATTTTTGAGTCGACTCAGAAGTCAATGCAGCAACAACAGTGCCCTGCAATTTTCCAACTACCAGCTAAAAAGCCCACACCTGGTAAGCCTCTCCTCCACCTTCCCGTCTCTCGTGCCCTCCTTGTCTCAGTCCGTTACTTGCACTATTCTCCCCACTTTCTACCCCAAGAAACAGCTTTCTTGGATTGCGTTCATGAAAGTGCGCCCTGAAACAGACCCATCAGACACATCCTCCGTTCCTCCATGTGTGAGTAGATGACTTTTGAGACGTCTCAAAAGGCAGATCCATCAGAGACATCCCCCGTTCCTCCGTGCATTATGCCCTCATCCCATTCACCACCCCCCTCACCAGCTTCCCCGGTATTCACGACCAGGATGCATTCACGCGAGTGCGACCCAAAGCAGACCCATACACCCACGACACCCTCCGTCTCTCCGTCCACTACCTGCCGACGGACCGTTTTGGCGGTTTCTGCCAGATCGGGCGGCAGCTGGGGCGGCTGGTCACTGTTCATGCCAACTGCTGTATTGGACTGGAGGAAAAGATGCGAGCGCTGCAGCGGGTGGGTTACCGGTAACATTGTATTCTTGTGGAACAGACAAAGGTACTGTTGGGTTCAGCCCAACAGGTACCATACCCAAGCAATGTGAAGAGGTTGCAGCAGGGTAGGTAAGCACTAAGCACCTCTTTCTCCCGATCTAACTTCGTTCCTGCAATAAATCCCCACCACTCCGTTTCTCATTTTCCCCTCTCCCCTGCTCCTGTGAACTTAGTAGTGTGGGGAATTAGGAGAGATTTAGAAGGGTGGTTATCTTCTCTGCACCTAGGGTTTGGATGACTACCAAATAACAAAAAACCTGCTCTGGTCGGTGCAATGACATGGCAGGTCTTGAGTGATGTGGATTGGTTTTGGCAGCTACCATTGGTCGACAGGGTGGGAGTGGGGCGGCATGGCTTGGTGTGGAGCGGGAGGAACTGCACTATTTGAAAAGAAAGTCAGTTTCTGAGGACGAACAATAGCCATAGAGTTTGGCAGGAGTATGTGTGTGTAATCAGTCAATGCTAGAAGCGTACGCCATTAGCAGGGCGTAGAGACTTGTTTTCTGAAGAAGTGTGGTCGGTTTCAAAGTTTTGTATGATGCCCAAGTTGTGATGAGGGTGACTCGCCCTGTGCTAGGGGGTTCTTTATGTGCAAATACCACCCACTTGTAATATAGTGAATTCTATAGCGGGTACGCAATCTCGACAAGAATCAAGTTCATACCCATCTTAGGGATCCCAACAACGCGTACACTCGTGTAAACCTCGGGAATTCATCCGAGGTAATTCAAAAGTTGCAGCCAAGGCCGAGAAGACCGATTTCTTCCAAAAAGCTGGGAGGAATCGATTTTTTACGATAACCCCCCCCCCCCCCCCCCCCCCCCCCCCCCCCCCCCCCCCCCCCCCCCCCCGCCCAGCAGCGGGCCTGGTTGTTCCGAGGCCCGTGGAGAGCTCAATGGCGTGGAGCTTGCCCTCTGTTGCCGGTTTCCCCCGTATCTCGAGCCCGCCGTGCGTTGCCACGTGGCGTAGTAGATACAAGATCACCTCGCTGGTTTCTGAACCTCGTCGACCTCCCACGACGCCGTCGATCGACGGCTGATCCGTGGCAGGCGAGTCCTTCCTGAGACGTGACTTCTCGAAACTATGTCAGGCGCAGCACCAATGTCCCACAGATGCCAGGCACAGCGGTACCAACCTTGATCGGTCTCAATACCAGTTCCGAAGACCATAGCAGGATGAAAGCTGCTCGTCAGCAGATGGACACTGCTGCTCGTTCCCTCATGGTTCCCTCCCCAGCCCTTTTAGAAAACCTCTATTCTATTCATCCTGCATATGCTAGTTCGCTTGTCTAGAGTTAAGCACCCAAACTTAGTTTGGGTGTACAAACAGGAGTAACCCAGTTTGTAGGTTGGAACCCAACCTTGGTCCAATTATTGGACCCCAAAAGGTTGGGTTGGGTAGAATTATTGGTCCCCTCCAATAATGTTGGCCCAACCCCAACTTGGCCAACATTATTGGACCCCACCAATAATCCCCCAACCCAACTTCTTGGTTGGGGTCCAATAATGCCAACCTAGGTTAGCATCCAACTCCCTACTATGTATACCCTTGTCATTCTCAATCCAAGCATCAACTTCTTTCAGTTCTCAAGTCATCCTTCACATGATTCTAACAGCCCCTGCATCCTCTCCTGCCTCTCCACCCGCCCCAACTCCCACCTTGCCTCCCGCCCCGCCAACCACCTCTGCCTCCTCCTCCTCGCGCCCCTCCTCCCTCCCTTTTCTTCCTCCCCTTGGGGACCGCCTCAGGACTTGCTTTCTCGCTTCCTCCAACAACGCGCACCTGCCTGTCACTCTTAACGAATCTCATCCCTCCAATCCCTCCCATCCCTCTCATCCCTCTCATCCCTCCCATCCCTCCCATCCCTCCCATCCCTCTCATCCCTCTCATCCCTCCCATCCCTCTCATCCCTCTCATCCCTCCCATCCCTCTCATCCCTCTCATCCCTCCCATCCCTCCCATTCCTCCCACCCCTCTCATCCCTCCCATCTCTCCCATCCCTCTCATCCCTCTCATCCCTCTCATCCCTCCCATCCCTCCCATCCCTCTCATCCCTCTCATACCTCTCATCACGCCCTGTTCAGACTAAGAATAACCCCCACTGTTTTCAGCAACTCTCTCCTCTTCATCCTCTCGCTGCTCATCCTCCTCCCCCTCCTCGCCATCCCCCTCCTTGAGTGACGTGGGCAGAATTCGGCAGCTACCATTGCTGGACAGACTCGGAGCGGGGCGGCATGGCTTGGCTTGGAGGAGAAACTGCAAGTTCTGAGAAATCATCATTCTTTATGGAAGAAAAATAGTTATGAGGCGCCTCAAAATACCGTATGGCTTGGCATGGAGGAAAAACTGCAAGGTTTGAAAAATCGTCACTGTTTGTGGAAGAATAAAATAGACGAGAGTTTTAGTAGTGAACGGAAATAAGTGACAGTTTGTTGAAAATTTATTGTGTAGCTGACGTAGCCTACTAGCGTACGGGTGCTTCACACATGACCTTGCAGGGAAGCTTCCTGCTTGTACTGTAGAAGCTTCTGCTCGATGCTACTCAACAGAGGTCCGTACCTGAAAGGAAACCATACATAAGAGGGTACGAACTTATCATAATGAGCCCAGCTTTTACAGAATCTTCTACGGACCAACAAAAGGACAGACGGGAGATGGAAGAAAGGCGGGGCAGGAGGAAGCAAGGCGAGAGCGTGGGGTGGTGAAGCGAAAGCAGTAACTTGGGTTATTTGTTGGTCGCAATCGCTTGGTCTGGGTGAGCCTATGGACGGCAGTCGTGCAGCAGCTGGCATTGCAGCGCAGCGCTTGTGCAGTGCACTCCACTACCTACTTCCACCCTAACTTTGACTACCGAGTACCAGCACAGCACAGCACACTACCACTACTCACAGCCGTTTGGTCTGAGACAGCCTCTGCACTGCCGTGGTGCAGCTGGAGCGCAGTGCCTGTGGACCCACCTTCTTACTACCACCACCGCCACTACTACCACCTCCAGCACCACCAGCACAGCAATACAGCAGCACTACTCACAGGCGTTTGGTTTGTGAGAGCCTCTGGACAGCCGTGGTACAGCTGGCATCGGCGCGCAGTGCCTGCACTGACAGCTGGCGGATGCGGTGCTGGGCGGCAGAGAGCTCGTTCTGTAGTGGGGAAGGGCGGAGGGCAGAGAGCGGCAGAAAAGGGGAGAGAGGGGCAGAGAAGGGAGAGAGGTTCAGAGAGGGGTAGAGACGGGTAGACAGGGGCAGAGATAGGTCGCTATGAGGGTGGAAAGGGATAGCAAGGGATGGAAGGAAAGCGCGAGAATAGCAAGGGATGGAAGAAAAAGCGTGAAAATTAGTAATACCTTTATGGTACAAAGATGGTATCAAGATAACTTCTCCAAATGTTTCCCTTTTTCTCAGACTTTATTAACACTCTCCACTTTCACTCCTTATAGCCTTGAGCGTGAGGCTTCAAAACTCCCAGAGAAATAGATGATTGAAACACCAAGCAGGCTCCGCTCCTCTCGCCTTGAGCTTCTTGTTCGCTTCCACTGGCACCTCCATCGAGTTACACCATTCATTTCGAAAACGCCCTCCAAGTCAAACGATTAATTGACCTCCCCTATCTCACCTTGGGCTTCCTGTTCTCTTCCTCCTGAACTTCCACAGAGTGGCAATAGGCTCATTCAACAGACACGTTTCCAAACGCTTTTTTGAACTTTACCTTGTCTCACCTTGAGCTTTTGGTTCTCTTCCTCCTGAACTTCCATAAATTTCCGAGTCGATTCAAAACTAGCTGAATTTTGAGTCGACTCAAAAGTCAGCCCCTTGTCTCACCTTGAGCTTCTTGTTCTCTTCCTCCAACACCTCCACCGGCTTCCCTCTAATCACCTCCACACTCACTCCCCTCCCCTGCCCCACTCTCCCATCCTCCCCACCTCTAACCCCATCCCCAACCTCCTTCCCCTCCCCATCCTCCTTCCCTGCCCCTTCCTCTCCACCACCTTCCACCGCTCCTGCCCCCACCACCACTGTACCATCGCCTTGCATAGCCACCACCTCCCCATTCTTTTTTCCATTTGCTGAGTCTCCATTAAGAGATAACGGTGGCTCCTCCAGGTGTTGCGCGGGGAAGGTGTTTACTGATGGCAGCTCCAGGTGTTGCCTGGGGGAGGTGGAGACTGGCAGCTCGGGATCGTCTGTGTCTGCCTCTGTGTCCGTGTCTCCTAACCCTGGACCCACCACCCCTCCCGCTGCTGCTGATGTTGCTGCTCCCGCCCCTCCTTTCTCTCCCCCTAATAACTCTCCTGTTCCTCCCTTCTCTGCTGAAGAGGCTGTTCCCGCTCCTGCTCCTGCTCCTGGGCCTGCTCCTGTGCCTGCTCCTGTGCCTGCTGCTGCTGATGCTCCCACTGCTGTTGCTGCCCCGATGCTGCTGTCCACCTGCTGCTGCTGCTCGCTCTGCAGTTGCTGCCAGGCGCGAGCCTGAAGAGATACACAAACGGGAAGGAGGAGGAGGAAGTCTGCCCGAGGCTAAATGGGCCAGGTGGGTAGGGAAGAAAGGGAGAATGGAGCCTGGAAAAGAGAGGCAATGAGACAGGACACCTGAGGCTGATTCTGCTGCACTCACCTGAGCCGCTGTTGTTCCCACCTGAGCCTCTGCTGCACGCACCTGAGCCTCCCAGCGGGCAGCAATGGCAGAGACCTCCTTGAGCCCCGCTGCCAGCCCTGAGTTCTCCGCGAATAGGCGCTCTATCTGCAGCGACTGGGAATCCACCTGATGTGTGTTTGTGAATGGGCGGCAGGAGATAGCAGCGTGGATGGTATCGATGGTTGAGACACAGATAGTGCAATGCAGGAAGCGATGGAATGGTATGGAATAGGACTAAAAGAAGTGATACCCTATTCAAGAAGAATTAAGAACAGAGGAGGGATGGGGGAATGAGAGTCAGGAGAGCGAGTCACTCTGGCAGTTACTGGAGAGAGAGAATGGATAAGGGGATTGCCGAAGGCATGCTTGCACTCTTCACAACCAGAACACCTGTCCAAAGCACCGTGTTACTGGAATTCTCACTTTCGATAGAGGCTAAGAAGGAGATCGCAATAGCAGTCTCGCCCGTGCATTGCAATCTCCTTCTTAGCCAGCGACACAAGAGGTTTCTCAAAAGTCGCCTCGTTCCATCACTTCTCCTTCTCAAACTGCTGCAGCCACTTCAGGTCGCGGACTGAAAAATCCCCTCGGTGAGAGTAGCACTCATTTCAGAAAGCCAGCAGCCTCAGCCGCTCACCTCAGACAGCAATCTCAGCCATGCTTTCTCCTTCTTAGCCCGAGACACCTGCAGCTTCTTTAACTGCGGCTGCAGCTACACTGTGACACAGCCGTATAACACACCTTGTGTAAAGGAACGCTCACCTCAGACAGCAGTCTCAGCCGTGCCTTTTCCTTCTTAGCCAGAGACGCCTGCAGCATTTTCATCTGCTGCAGAGACTTAAGGTCAACTCAAGAATCTCCTCCGTTAGAGGAACACTCTCTTCAGTCAGGCAGCAATCATGATACCCTTTGTTTGAAGGAACGCTCACCTCAGACAGCAATCGCAGTCGAGCCTTTTCTTTCTTAGCCAGAGACGCCTGCAGCTTCTCCAACTGCTGCTGCAGCTGTCCCCGCTCTGCCTCTGCTCTATGCGCCTCCTCCTGCCATGAACATGGGTGCAGCAGAAGCAGATGCAAAAGGCAGAAGAGGAAGCTTGAGCTCCACCTGCTGCTGCAGTTGTTGTGACGAGGTTTAAAGCCCTCAAAGCTCATCTCATAGCACGCGTGCGAGCATAAGAAGAACCAGGCAGCGAGACAGGAAAGGCCAAGCACCTTCAATTGTGCAAGCTGTTCAGTAAACTGCCCAGCAACTTCACTTGCATCTCCTCTCCCTGCTCCTGACAATTCTACTGCCCCTGCTCCTGCCCCTCCCGCCCCTTCTCCTGCCCCTTCTGGCGCCCCTGCTCCCGCCCCTTCCCCGGCAACTTCTCTTTCTCCTCCACCTGCCACATCTTCACCCACTGCTTCACCTTTACCCTCCACCTCCGCTCTCTCTTTGTCCCCTACACCCTCTCCACCACTCTCAACCGTAGCACCACCACCACCAGCTTTGTCTCGCATTGAAGCACTCTCAGTATCGCCCTTGGACTTTTTCAACTCCGATTCTACCTCCTTCCGCACCTCCTTCCGAACCTTCTCCATCACCTCTTCCCGAACCTGTTTCTCAACCTCCTTCCAAACCTCTTCCTTCACCTCCTGCCGCATCCGAGCCACAGCGGCTGCTTCAATCTCTTTCCGAGCCTCCTCGCTCACACACGTCACTTGAGTTCCCACATCTACCGATCCCACCGACCCTTGACCGCTGGGCTTTAAGACCTCCTCCTCAGCACTTCTCCCAGCTTCTGCTCCTAGCTCCTCCCGAACCTCCGCCTTCAGCTTCTCCCGAACCTCAGCTTCTAGTTCTTTCCGAACCTTCCCCTCCACGTCCTGCCGAACCTCGGACTCCAACTTCTTCCGAGCCTCAACCTCAGCCACTTCCCGGACCTCCGCTTCCAGCTTCTGCCGAACCTCAGCCTCAATGTCGGACCTGAGGTCCCGTTCCACCTCTTGCCGAACCTCCGCCTTTGCATTGATCTTAAGCCTCTCCTCTGCTTCCAACGCCTCCTGAAGATAACATGGAGATAGAAAATGAGGGGCATTCCAAAGAACGATCAAACTACCCCCACCCCCACCCCCCAGAAAAAAATAATAATAATAAAAATAAAAATAATCAAAACCCACCTTCAGGCTCGCCTGCACGGCTGCCAGTTGCTTCTCAATCGCCTCCTTGCCTCCAGCCGCCGTTGCCGCCTTCTGCCTCTCTGTTATCAGCTGCTGCCGCATGCCCGTCAGCTCCTGGCGCAGATCCTATGGTGGTTGTGGGTTGAGGGGAATAGGCACGTGACGTGAGCACAGATGTATGACCCACAACATCCCCATGCTCCCCGTTTGATAAGAGGACATCCACATGAGGAAATGCTTGGAATAATAAAGCCGCCCTCTGCCTCTCTGCTATCAGTTGCTGCCGCATGCCTGTCAGCTCCTGGCGCGGCGCGGCTCCTGTGGTGGGAAAATAAAGTATTGTGAAGAGAAGGATAGGCACATGACAATCTTTGCAAGCAAGCAACAGAGTCACTTTTGAGAAGTCGCAAAACTAACCACTCATCTCGCGCACACTCATGCCATGCCTCTTCCTCGCCAGTTCCGTACCTGCAGCTCAGCCTTGGCGGCATCTCTGGCAGCTTCGGCAACCCGGAGCTGGTCCGGGTCGGGAGCAAATGCCGCACCTGCACGATCCACCGTGGCCTCTGTTGAGTGCTGCAGCGCCCTCAGCTCTGCTGCTAGCGCCGCCGATGCCTCTTCTGCCTGTGAGACAAGAGAAGTGGAAGAGGAAAAAAGGTGAAAACACTAATGCAGCTGCGCCTGCGGCCTGCCCGATCCACTGTGGCCTCTGTCGAGTGCTGCAGCGCCCTCAGCTCTGCTGCTAGGGCTGCTAATGCCTCTTCTGCCTGTACAGGAGAGAATAAAAGGAGGAACACACAGGAGAGAGGGAGAAAATATTGATCCCGCTGAGCCGGCCCGATCCACTGTGGCCTCTGTGGAGTGCTGTAGAGCCCTCAGCTCTGCTGCTAGCGCTGCCGATGCCTCTTCTGCCTGTAATAGGTGGGAAACGAAGGGGAGAAGGGAGGAAAGAGTAAGAGCACGCCATGGTCCATTCCATTCCACCTCCGCCTAGCAGCACTAACAGTTGAATGTGCGGCTGCGTGGTGACTTTTGAGTCAACTCGAAAGTCACGCCATCGTCCATTCCATCTTTGCCTAGCAGCACTAGCAGTTGAATGCGTGGCTGCTCATGCTGCTCGCCTGTGCCTCTTCTGCCTGCTAAACGAGGGCGACAACAGGAGGTAGAGAGAGAAAGAGTGCAGTGCGAACCATAACCCACAAAAACCTTTCTATGAGACAAACCGGCCATGCTTCTGGTTTTCCACTGCCGCAAAATGACTACTGTTCTTCCTTACCTTGCTCAGCAGGGCAACGAGTGCCCTTTACCTTGTGTTCCAGTGCTCCTCTACACAGTTCCCCTGCACTGCTAGTTTTCCCACTTACCTTGTATTGTTCCTCCTCTGCCTCCTGCAGTCGTCTCTTCAGCACCCGCACCTGCGATGCAAGGTCCTCCTGCTCCACAGAATTGAGGAAATTGCGGGCGGAAATGAGAAACGGAAGTTACAGGTTAGGGAGGCAGCAACAACAGCAGGCAGCCCCGCAATGCAATTGCCTCTTCAGCACCCGCACCTGTGATGCCAAGTCCTCCTGCTCCACAGGAGGGGAGGGGGGAAGAATGAGGAGGGGAGGGGAGACACGATGCCACTGGTAAGGGAGGTAGCAACAGCATCAGTGGCCCTGCAGACGTCTCTTCAGCACCCGCACCTGCGATGCCAAGTCCTCCTGTTCATGGGGGGAGGGGGGGAGTGGAGGGGGAGGGAAGGGGAGGCACGGAGCCACAGGTAAGGGAGGTAGCAACAGCATCAGTGGCCCTATTGTCGTCTCTTCAGCACCCGCACCTGCGATGCCAAGTCCTCCTGTTCATGGGGGGAGGGGGGGAGTGGAGGGGGAGGGAAGGGGAGGCACGGAGCCACAGGTAAGGGAGGTAGCAACAGCATCAGTGGCCCTATTGTCGTCTCTTCAGCACCCGCACCTGCGATGCCAAGTCCTCCTGTTCATGGGGGGAGGGGGGGAGTGGAGGGGGAGGGAAGGGGAGGCACGGAGCCACAGGTAAGGGAGGTAGCAACAGCATCAGTGGCCCTATTGTCGTCTCTTCAGCACCCGCACCTGCGATGCCAAGTCCTCCTGTTCATGGGGGGAGAGCGGCAGGGAGGGGTGGGAGGCGGAGTCAAAGGTAAAAGAGATGAAGAGAGGGAACTGCCTCCTGCAGCAGCAAGCGTCACTTGACGGTTATGCAACTGCCTCCTGCAGCAGTCAACTTTCTGGTACCCATGCCTGCGGTGTCAAGTTCTCCAGCCTCACAGGGTTGAATAGGCGTGGAATGCAGTAGGTTGAAGACTGCATTTGTTATAGGCACCACAACACTACACCATGGAATGAACTTATAGTTTCAAAACAGAAGGTAGTCAACGAAAGAAGAAGAAAAAGAACAAAACGAAACCACAACAATAAAACAAAAATCACTCCCCCCTCCCCGCCCTCTCACTTTCCCCCCTTCCCCTCCACACACAACGAACATGCACACAGACGAACATGCACACACACAGAAATCTCCCTCGCCCCCACAAAAAACAACCGTCACAGTACCTTGGCGAGCACTGCTGCATCCCTCTCAATGCCTGCTGCCTCCACTGCCTTGCGCAGTGCTGCTGCCTGCTCCTCCGACTGGCGGCATGGCCCATGGGGACGCGAAGGCAAGGGTAAGATGGGAGGAGGGGGGTAAGGGGAGGTCAGGGAAGAGCAAAAAGGAGAGGACAATAGAACGAGGAGGATAAAGGGGGTGCAAGATGAGAGCGACAAAGAGAGGAGAAGGCAGGGATGGGAAGGAGGAGGAGAAGTGGACAAGGAAGGAAAGATGGCAGAAGGCGCTAATGGTTTTGTTGTGAGCCTTGCTCTGCCAACAAGCAAATCAGATCCTGCAGCAGAGGCTGCGCCTGAGCCAACTTACAGTCGAATCACAGCTTAGAGGGGAATCTCATCCTCCAGGCGAATATTATCCACCCGCACCTGGCTGGAGTGCGCATTGTTCTGGCAAACTCAAATACAGCAGCAGAGGCTGCCTGCGCTGCGTCTGAGCCAGCTTAGAGGCGAATCAAATCCTCCAGGCGGCCATTAACCGCAACGCACCTTGTTGGAGTGCTTTGAGTCGACTCAAGAGCAGAGGCTGCACCTGAGCCAGCTTAGAGGCGAATCAAATCCTCCAGGCGGCCATTAACCGCAACACACCTTGTTGGAGTGCTTTGAGTCGACTCAAGAGCAGAGGCTGCACCTGAGCCAGCTTAGAGGCGAATCAAATCCTCCAGGCGGCCATTAACCGCAACACACCTTGTTGGAGTGCTTTGAGTCGACTCAAGAGCAGAGGCTGCACCTGAGCCAGCTTAGAGGCGAATCAAATCCTCCAGGCGGCCATTAACCGCAACGCACCTTGTTGGAGTGCTTTGAGTCGACTCAAGAGCAGAGGCTGCACCTGAGCCAGCTTAGAGGCGAATCAAATCCTCCAGGCGGCCATTAACCGCAACACACCTTGTTGGAGTGCTTTGAGTCGACTCAAGAGCAGAGGCTGCACCTGAGCCAGCTTAGAGGCGAATCAAATCCTCCAGGCGGCCATTAACCGCAACACACCTTGTTGGAGTGCTTTGAGTCGACTCAAGAGCAGAGGCTGCACCTGAGCCAGCTTAGAGGCGAATCAAATCCTCCAGGCGGCCATTAACCGCAACACACCTTGTTGGAGTGCTTTGAGTCGACTCAAGAGCAGAGGCTGCATCTGAGCCAGCTTAGAGGCGAATCAAATCCTCCAGGCGGCCATTAACCGCAACACACCTTGTTGGAGTGCTTTGAGTCGACTCAAGAGCAGAGGCTGCACCTGAGCCAGCTTAGAGGCGAATCAAATCCTCCAGGCGGCCATTAACCGCAACACACCTTGTTGGAGTGCTTTGAGTCGACTCAAGAGCAGAGGCTGCACCTGAGCCAGCTTAGAGGCGAATCAAATCCTCCAGGCGGCCATTAACCGCAACACACCTTGTTGGAGTGCTTTGAGTCGACTCAAGAGCAGAGGCTGCACCTGAGCCAGCTTAGAGGCGAATCAAATCCTCCAGGCGGCCATTAACCGCAACACACCTTGTTGGAGTGCTTTGAGTCGACTCAAGAGCAGAGGCTGCACCTGAGCCAGCTTAGAGGCGAATCAAATCCTCCAGGCGGCCATTAACCGCAACACACCTTGTTAGAGTGCTTTGAGTCGACTCAAGAGCAGAGGCTGCACCTGAGCCAGCTTAGAGGCGAATCAAATCCTCCAGGCGGCCATTAACCGCAACACACCTTGTTGGAGTGCTTTGAGTCGACTCAAGAGCAGAGGCTGCACCTGAGCCAGCTTAGAGGCGAATCAAATCCTCCAGGCGGCCATTAACCGCAACACACCTTGTTGGAGTGCTTTGAGTCGACTCAAGAGCAGAGGCTGCACCTGAGCCAGCTTAGAGGCGAATCAAATCCTCCAGGCGGCCATTAACCGCAACACACCTTGTTGGAGTGCTTTGAGTCGACTCAAGAGCAGAGGCTGCACCTGAGCCAGCTTAGAGGCGAATCAAATCCTCCAGGCGGCCATTAACCGCAACACACCTTGTTGGAGTGCTTTGAGTCGACTCAAGAGCAGAGGCTGCACCTGAGCCAGCTTAGAGGCGAATCAAATCCTCCAGGCGGCCATTAACCGCAACACACCTTGTTGGAGTGCTTTGAGTCGACTCAAGAGCAGAGGCTGCACCTGAGCCAGCTTAGAGGCGAATCAAATCCTCCAGGCGGCCATTAACCGCAACACACCTTGTTGGAGTGCTTTGAGTCGACTCAAGAGCAGAGGCTGCACCTGAGCCAGCTTAGAGGCGAATCAAATCCTCCAGGCGGCCATTAACCGCAACACACCTTGTTGGAGTGCTTTGAGTCGACTCAAGAGCAGAGGCTGCACCTGAGCCAGCTTAGAGGCGAATCAAATCCTCCAGGCGGCCATTAACCGCAACACACCTTGTTGGAGTGCTTTGAGTCGACTCAAGAGCAGAGGCTGCACCTGAGCCAGCTTAGAGGCGAATCAAATCCTCCAGGCGGCCATTAACCGCAACACACCTTGTTGGAGTGCTTTGAGTCGACTCAAGAGCAGAGGCTGCACCTGAGCCAGCTTAGAGGCGAATCAAATCCTCCAGGCGGCCATTAACCGCAACACACCTTGTTGGAGTGCTTTGAGTCGACTCAAGAGCAGAGGCTGCACCTGAGCCAGCTTAGAGGCGAATCAAATCCTCCAGGCGGCCATTAACCGCAACACACCTTGTTGGAGTGCTTTGAGTCGACTCAAGAGCAGAGGCTGCACCTGAGCCAGCTTAGAGGCGAATCAAATCCTCCAGGCGGCCATTAACCGCAACACACCTTGTTGGAGTGCTTTGAGTCGACTCAAGAGCAGAGGCTGCACCTGAGCCAGCTTAGAGGCGAATCAAATCCTCCAGGCGGCCATTAACCGCAACACACCTTGTTGGAGTGCTTTGAGTCGACTCAAGAGCAGAGGCTGCACCTGAGCCAGCTTAGAGGCGAATCAAATCCTCCAGGCGGCCATTAACCGCAACACACCTTGTTGGAGTGCTTTGAGTCGACTCAAGAGCAGAGGCTGCACCTGAGCCAGCTTAGAGGCGAATCAAATCCTCCAGGCGACCATTAACCGCAACACACCTTGTTGGAGTGCTTTGAGTCGACTCAAGAGCAGAGGCTGCACCTGAGCCAGCTTAGAGGCGAATCAAATCCTCCAGGCGGCCATTAACCGCAACACACCTTGTTGGAGTGCTTTGAGTCGACTCAAGAGCAGAGGCTGCACCTGAGCCAGCTTAGAGGCGAATCAAATCCTCCAGGCGGCCATTAACCGCAACACACCTTGTTGGAGTGCTTTGAGTCGACTCAAGAGCAGAGGCTGCACCTGAGCCAGCTTAGAGGCGAATCAAATCCTCCAGGCGGCCATTAACCGCAACACACCTTGTTGGAGTGCTTTGAGTCGACTCAAGAGCAGAGGCTGCACCTGAGCCAGCTTAGAGGCGAATCAAATCCTCCAGGCGGCCATTAACCGCAACACACCTTGTTGGAGTGCTTTGAGTCGACTCAAGAGCAGAGGCTGCACCTGAGCCAGCTTAGAGGCGAATCAAATCCTCCAGGCGGCCATTAACCGCAACACACCTTGTTGGAGTGCTTTGAGTCGACTCAAGAGCAGAGGCTGCACCTGAGCCAGCTTAGAGGCGAATCAAATCCTCCAGGCGGCCATTAACCGCAACACACCTTGTTGGAGTGCTTTGAGTCGACTCAAGAGCAGAGGCTGCACCTGAGCCAGCTTAGAGGCGAATCAAATCCTCCAGGCGACCATTAACCGCAACACACCTTGTTGGAGTGCTTTGAGTCGACTCAAGAGCAGAGGCTGCACCTGAGCCAGCTTAGAGGCGAATCAAATCCTCCAGGCGGCCATTAACCGCAACACACCTTGTTGGAGTGCTTTGAGTCGACTCAAGAGCAGAGGCTGCACCTGAGCCAGCTTAGAGGCGAATCAAATCCTCCAGGCGGCCATTAACCGCAACACACCTTGTTGGAGTGCTTTGAGTCGACTCAAGAGCAGAGGCTGCACCTGAGCCAGCTTAGAGGCGAATCAAATCCTCCAGGCGGCCATTAACCGCAACACACCTTGTTGGAGTGCTTTGAGTCGACTCAAGAGCAGAGGCTGCACCTGAGCCAGCTTAGAGGCGAATCAAATCCTCCAGGCGGCCATTAACCGCAACACACCTTGTTGGAGTGCTTTGAGTCGACTCAAGAGCAGAGGCTGCACCTGAGCCAGCTTAGAGGCGAATCAAATCCTCCAGGCGGCCATTAACCGCAACACACCTTGTTGGAGTGCTTTGAGTCGACTCAAGAGCAGAGGCTGCACCTGAGCCAGCTTAGAGGCGAATCAAATCCTCCAGGCGACCATTAACCGCAACACACCTTGTTGGAGTGCTTTGAGTCGACTCAAGAGCAGAGGCTGCACCTGAGCCAGCTTAGAGGCGAATCAAATCCTCCAGGCGGCCATTAACCGCAACACACCTTGTTGGAGTGCTTTGAGTCGACTCAAGAGCAGAGGCTGCACCTGAGCCAGCTTAGAGGCGAATCAAATCCTCCAGGCGGCCATTAACCGCAACACACCTTGTTGGAGTTCTTTGAGTCGACTCAAGAGCAGAGGCTGCACCTGAGCCAGCTTAGAGGCGAATCAAATCCTCCAGGCGGCCATTAACCGCAACACACCTTGTTGGAGTGCTTTGAGTCGACTCAAGAGCAGAGGCTGCACCTGAGCCAGCTTAGAGGCGAATCAAATCCTCCAAGAAGATATTATCCACCACGCACCTTGTTGGAGTGCGCACTGTTCTGCTCCTGCGCTGCCTGCAGGGCGGCCTGTGCCTGAGAGAGCTGCGAGTTGGTGAGGTGCAGCTGAGAGGCGAACGCATCTACTTGCTTCTTCCGACACCCCGTGCAGGATTCCAGTTACAGGTGGCCAGTTCGCAACACACGCACCTGGCTGGAGTGCGCCTTGCTCTTCTCCTCTGCTGCCTGCAGAGCCCCCTGCGCCTGGGCCAGCTGCGAGTTGGTGAGATGCAGCTGAGAGGCGAACGCGTCCACCTGCTTCTTCAGCAGTGCCCTGTCCGACTCCAGCCGCCGCACCTGAGGAGAGGAGAGAACAAGGCAAGCGAGGAGAAAGGCAAGGCAAGCGAGGAGAAAGGCAAGGCAAGCGAGGAGAAAGGAAGGGCGGAGGAGTCCAGGGGAGGGACAATGTGTCTGAGATGCGAACGCGTCCACCTGCTTCTTCAGCAGCGCTCTGTCAGATTCCAATCGCCGCACCTGAGGGGATGTTGTGGGAGGAAGAGGGGAGGGAGAGGGGCAGATGCGAGAATGGGTGTAGCTGCGATGCAAACGTGTCCACCTGCTTCTTTAGCAGCGCTCTACCCGACTCCAGCTGCATTGCTGAGTTGATGAAAAGGAACCTCCAGCAGTCCAATCTACTATGCACACCATGTTACCATTTTTACCAGAAGAACTAACATCCTCCATCAGCCCAGCACATCTGTGCTCCTGAGCCTCCAGAGCAGATGGGTTTTTTTGGGTTCTCAGAACCGACTACTCTGTCACCATGTTACCATGTTACCAGCAGCACTCACATCCTCCATCAGCCCAGCGCATCTGTGCTCCTGTGCCTCCAGAGCAGCTCTGGCCCTCGCTGCCTCCAGCCTTGCACTGCGCAGATCCGCCTGACGCCACAAACACAGAGAAAGAGAGGGAGAGATAAAAAAACGGGAAAAGGGTTACTTACTATGCAGCAATCCTTATTGACCACTAATAGTCGATGCACTGGCTGCTTCCGCGCAAAGGTTACCACAGCATGCTTCTTAAGAGTACGTCTTCCTTTCATGCTGGTCTACATTACATCACCTACCAGACAAGCACGTCCGGTTCGTGTGCCTTTGCCGAGCCTGCAACCGTGTCTAAGGGGGAAGAAGCAAGGTAAGTGGTGTTACCTCAAACCCCACGATCCGCTCCCGCAAGGCATTAGCGTCCTTCATCGCCACAGCTCCTGCACCAATCTGCTGCTGCTTCTACATTTGAGTCGACTCAAAATAGGAATGACGTGAGCGGCCTTACCTCTAACCCCTCGATCCGCTCCCATAAGGCGTTGGCGTCCTGCGTCGCCACAGCTCCAGATCCGATCTGCTGCTGCTGCTGCTGCTGCTGCTGCTGCTGAAAGTGCTCCTGCTGCTGCTGTTGCTGCTGGTACTGCCGTTGCTGCTCCTGCTGCTGGTTCAGCTGCAATTGCTGCTGGTTCAAGTATTGGTACCTTAGCTGGTTCGACTCCTGCTGCTGCTGCTGCTGCTGCTGATGCTGCACCTGCTGTGCCTGCTGCTGCTGCAGCGGCTGGCCGTACGCGCTCTGGAACGGGGACAAGGACGCAGCCATGCTAGGGTTTGCACCTCCCACCCCGCCTCCCTCAACCCTCCCGACGTTGCTGTAGTGCGGACCAGCGGAGCCTGCTGCAAATCCCTGCGCGTTAGGGTAACCCGAGGAACCCTGAGGATAGCCGGACGGTCCATAGGGATTGCCGGAGGAGCTTTGAGGGTTGCTACCCAGTGGTCGATTCAGGTCACTCTGGTATCGAGTAGCTCCCCGATCCATGGCTGGAAATTGTTGAGATTTCAGAGAATCGTGAAAAAGGTCACCTACAATCACGACATGCTGTCTACTTAATAAAACAGTTCGAAATGTCAAAGGTATGTGCTGGTACCGGGTGTAGCAGTTTCCGGATGCACAGGAGAATGAACAAATGCCAGAAAATCTCAGCGACAATGCCGACTCGCCATTACGGTCGAGATATAACACTCAATCGATTGATTCTGTAACGGAACAACGAGCTTTTCTGGCAGACCACACCTGTCAGAAATCTAGCTGCTGCTGGTGGAACAAGCAGAAGTCATGACGGTTTTCGGGGATAGGCATGTTGTTCAATATTGTCATCCCCTTTAAAAACTGACTCATACGGTAAAGGCCGTCCTGGGCTTGCTGACATCAGATTTGCGTTGCGACGCGGCGACGTCAACCCGATTCTCGTTTCAGGCCTGATTTGACTGTGCGACAGAGTCGCCGTCGCCGACTGATCGCAGCCAATCACTGAAAAATCTCGTGGTGGCGGGATGGGATTTTCGATGCAAAATTGCTTGGTAGTGGTTGGGTGGGGTCACTGGGATGGGATGGGTACAGTACCTTACGTCGTTGAAAGGTGGAGTCTGGCGGTAAGGTTTTCAGACGGGTACCTTGCGTCACAGACAGGTTAATTAGTTCTGTATTGCGTTTCGTCGCGTGATTGGTTTCGTTTGGTCTCGGTTCAAAGACTTCTCGGTTCAGTTGGGTTCTTTTTTTTTTTTTGGGTTGCGAAGCAACCCTTTACGATCGATTTTGCCAAATTTTATTTTCATGATTAATTAATTTATGAAAATCATGAAATTAAAATTCGTAAGCTACAGTAATACTCTTCACATACTGTATGCATGTTTAGCAGTTTGGTACTGTTTACAGTGCATTAAATCATGTGATATTTTTGCAGTTGTTAGTGCAGATTTGCTGTACTGGTTGCATGTTTTACTGTTCTATTGTGGTAATGATAAACAGATGCACACTTGATGCATAAATGATGCTATAAGATGCATAATTTTTAATATAATACGTCCATGTTTTACTATTAGATGCTATTATGATAATGATGAATAGATGCATGCTTAATGCATAAATGATGCTATAAGATGCATAATGTACGGTATGAGACGTCTTGATGCATATGTACATATGGTAATAAAATGCGTGACAGTTAACTACCCAAAAACTAAGCTACCGCCATCCCCTGCCTAGCATGGGGGGGAGGTCAATAGCTTGGCTTTTGAATAATCAACAGTCACATGAAACAACACAGTCTGTATATTCTAAAAAAATGGTCAAACCTATCAAATCCAGTTCGAAGTGGTCGCACACGAGTCACTTTGTGCGCCAATGAACCTTATGTGAAATGATAGACTTGAGCCATCTTTTTAAAATTCACAGACATGCATTGTTATTGCGATGGATGTGGATGAGTGCACGTACACATAGCACACACACACGCACACACATACATACATACAAACGCATATACAACATCACACACATTCACAAAAAGAAGAAAAAAAAACCTAATGCACAAACTGCAAAACAATAAAACATGTGAACATCAATACAATACAATTTTACAAGTCACCACTACTATCCACTTCACATGAACTCTTCGCTTCGCAGATGTACACATCTGGAAAGAAAGTCAAAGAAAATCTAGAAAAACAAATAGCAACGAATGAAGCAGAGGGAAAGATGGAACCCGGGGGGAGGAGAAAAGAATTATCAAATCGCGAAGAAAATGGAAAAAGAAAGCAAGGCAGTGAGGAGAAAAGCATAATAACCAAACAGGATGCAAGCTAATGGTGGTGAACATAGATATACATAAAAAACAGAACCCAAAAAACAGAGCAAGTAACAAAACAGGAAACAACGATATCCCTTAGGTGTGAATTTCACAGAGAGAGAGAGAGAGAGAGAGAGAGAGAGCGAGAGAGAGAGAGGGGAGAGA